AAATCCGATTCTTAGTGACACCGTGGGATAGAGTAGAACTGCCTCATAGGGTTTCCTATGCTGTAATCTTTACAGGAACAGATCCCTGGGTCTTTTCTGCCTCGGGGCAACTGGTGGGTTCCAATCACTGATCTTTTGGTTAGCAGCCAAGCACTTAACCATTGCATCACCAGAGCTCCACTTTTTCTTCCTACTTCTCATCTTTTCACAAGAATTTAAAAATTTAAGTACACAATAAGTGTCTAAAAGCTTAATTTGCATTTTTATTTCTGAATTTGAGTAATATAAAACAAAACATTAATATAACATTTTATATTACCTTAAATCATTCTTTAAAAATATCTTTCAGCAAATATGAAATGATAAAATCTCTTTAATTCTGACATTGGATGCTGTTACTTAAAAGATCCTTAGCAAAGCTAGCAATAATTTTATTTTAATAATGTCTTGCTTTATTTATAGTTTAGGCATCACTTAGGAAAGCTCAGTCTTTCTACTTAAAAGATAAAATAAGTTTTGTATTTAAGTCCATAAGATTTAATATGAGTATGTTCAAATTAAAATAAACAAATTTTTGAAAGCTGAATGAAAAGTTTTAGGTCAAATATGAGCTAGTAGAGGAGCCCTGATGGCACACAGGTAAGCCTCAGCTGCTAACCAAACGGTCAGCAGTGGGAACCTACCAGCCATTCTGTGAGAGAAAAGACCTGGCAATGTGTTCCTGTAAAGATTAAAGCCCAGGAAACCCTATGGTAGAGTTCTACTCTCATATAGGGTCAGTACGATTTGCAATCGACTCAACAGCACACAACAACAACGACAACATGAGATAGTAAAGAAAAGGAAGATTTACGGTACTGGCTAACCTGCAATTAGGGGCCCTCGTGGTGCAGGGGTTGGTGGTTTGAACCCACCAGCCCGCTCCCACGGGAGGAAGATGTGGCAGTCTGCTTCCATAAAGATTGCGGCCTTGGAAACCCTATGGAGTCGTTCTATAGGGTCATATGAGGCGGGATTGACTGGACAACAATGGGTTTCATTTTTTGGTTTTGAACTTCCAATTACTTGCATCTCTGAGACAAATCTTTGAGTTACGTGTTTATTCGTTGTTAACATGACCCATTTTCATTTAATCTAATTTTGCTTTTATTAAGCATCCACTTCACTTTTGACATCTGTAGGAGCATTTGGTTTTGTGATCATCTCTCTCTTGACTTCTACACCAAAATGGATCATGGTACTGAAAGAATGGAAAGATGAAGATAGCATTTTGAGCTTCTCTTTACACATAAATACAATGATCAAGTAAGTCCTTTAAAATAAAAAAATTTCATTATTTCTTCCCACTTGCCTGGAATGGTATAGGCCAGAGAAGTAGAAAGACTGGCGGGGAATAATTGACAAAACTAAATATGGTGGCTTTTATTGCTGAAAAGCGATGGCTTTCATCTCCTAAATACAGGCAAAAGCAATAAGATGCAAAACGTCTAGCATTTCTCTGTTAGCTCACTGTTGTCCATTTGGCATAACCGCCCTCCCTTCTAAGGCTGGGAACTACACTTTCCAGAATCCTCTTCCCTGTGTGGTTCTGGGTTCCAAAACCTAAAAACCAAACCCGTTGCCGTCTAATCAATTCCAACTCACAGTGACCCTATAGGACAGAGTAAAACTCCCCATATGGTTTCCAAGGCTGCAAATCGTTACAGAAGCAGACTGCCATTTCTTTCTCTGGCGGAGCTGGGTTTGAACTGCATTAGCAGCCGAGTGCTTGACCACTGCACCACCAGGGCTCCTTTTTGGTCCTGAGTTTAGAGCTTGCCAATGAGAAGAACTTGCCTGAGGACTGGAAGATGAAAATGCAGAGGAAGCCATTATTCTTGAGAAGTCTTTGTAGCTAGATGCTTGGGCAGATGAAAGATTTTCAGTTGCTTCCAGCAAATTTTTGAGAATCACACACTTTTCCTGAGATCTTCAGAGGTCATTTTTTAAGATTCTCGAGTATTGCAGTAGCTCCAGGAAAGCTTCTGAAAAGCCCCGCCTAGAGCTTCAGGCTTAAACCTTCAATATCAACCTCTCTGACTTTCAGTGGCCCTTCCATGACCTCTGCCTCCCCGACCCCACCCCAACTCTTCCAACAGTCCTGTTAAGTCCCAAATTCTGTACCTGGAACACATCAAGTGTTATGCTTCTGTTATGCTGACTGGTCCCTGATACACAGACATAGTCACAGTAAAGACTGGGAAGATTTTTGGTTTATTAAATATTGTAAATGACTGGAATGTCAGATACCTCAGCTCAAAATGCAAATATCTAATCACATTTCAAAGTCAAATACAGATAACCTGGATTTCTTTTTTGCTTTTCTCTAACAATGATAACAAAGATAACTTTATTTTTATTAGTTTCTATAGTCTTTAAAATATTTTTGAAATGATGTTCAGATAAACTGCAAGTAGTTATCTTCACTACTCTGAATAAAAAGTTTCACTTCTTATGACATATGCTTGCAATTCACATACTTGATGTTACTCAGCGGTGTTTTACCTGTAGTAGGAAGAGGGAAAGCAAGTTTAAATGAATTGTAGAAAATCATGTTAATCCTTAATCATTATTTGCTGTCTCCTTTCCTTTACCATGATGTATAAAGCTCTTTTGGTTCTATGTTTGCTACTAGAGATTCAGTATAGCTTTTATAAAATTGAGGTCTAATCAAGATCAAATTTAAAGAACAAAGCAGTTGCAACTAAATGGAACTTGGATACTGCATGACCCCTTCTTGGCAAAGGGTTACATTCAAGAAACATTTAAGCCGAACAAAACCAATTACGTTTTTGTCTAATATCCTTCAGGAACAGATGATTTATATTCATAGAGAATTGCAACATTTCTCTCAAATTTCTTTTCTCATCTTTCTCCTCCTCCGCCTCTCTCTATTTCTCTATTAACACGCTCTTGCACAGTGATTACTATATACCAGGCACTGTTCTAGGTACTTTACATGTATTAACATATTTAATCCTTACAACAACCCTATGATTAGCTGCAGTATTAGCTCTGCATTACAGATGAGAAATCTGAGGCTCAGAGGGGTTAAATAACTTGCCGAAGGTCACAGAAAGAAGACGTGGAAGGGCCAGGGATGAGTGCATCGGGCAGCTTGGCAGCAGGTTATGCTGACTCTCAAAGCTTTTTATCAACCCATCCTCTTTAGTAGGAGTCCCTGGGTGGCACAAACATTTAAGCGCTCAACTACTTGCTGAAATGTCAGTGGTTCAAACCTACCTGGAGGCACCTGGGAGACAAGCCTGGTGATCTGCTTCTCAAAGTTCTACTCTGCATACATGGGGTCACATGGAGTCGTTCCATGAGTCAGCATCGACTCAACAACAACAAGACCCTCTTTAATGTCTCTTTCCTCCCTTGCCAATTTCCCCTTTCTCTGTGTCTTCTGTCTCTACCCAGTCATTCTCTGTCCTTTTCAGTGAAATCACAGCAATCCAATCAGTACCCTCCACTCCTTTCTCTCACCCATTAACTCAGGATGCCCAAAAAGGGCCAAGAGGGAACTCAGTAAGCCTGGACTCTACTTTGGGGCAGATATGGAGAAGAGGAGCAGGGAGGAGTTAGTGAAGATTCCAGTTGTTGCTGTTTTCTAACTAAAGAAAATTCCCTTTGTACTCTGTGTTTAGGAACCAATGAAATACCAAAAACAAACAAAAATGATGGCACCAGTGAGCAACAGAATAAATCCAGGGTGGGAACTGAAGTTAAGAGGGCAGGTTAGAGTAAAGCAGGAAATACACTTGGTCCTTGAGCTGATCTTTATATATATTTTTCTTTTTTCTTCCCTTTCCTTAATATGGTTCCAGATGCAGTCCTGGAAGCAACATTAATGGGGATGAAGATGATATGCTATTGATCATATAAGGAAAGACTCAGGTGGTAAATGAATACATAAAGATAGAAATATAGAGAAGTACTCAGATTCACACTGTCAAGGTGGAGTTGAAAACTTTTGAGATCATAGGGTTTTCTAAATAAAATAAAATATTTATTAAAGTGGCCCTCAAATCCAGGGAACTCAAACTTTTTATTTTTTTGAACAATAGCTAATCAAATAAGTACTTAATGACTTTTATTTTCAGTGTTTGAAACCATAGTCCTAATTATGCTGTTATTATTTTCAGAATAGGAACCATGTTCTTCCAGGATGAACATCGATCCCAGGAGAAAAGCATATATATATCTCCACCCACTTTACACTTAAGACAGACTGATCCAGTATCAAACTTCAAGAAGAAACTTTCTTACACTTTTTAAAATCACAGCACTCCAGCGAACACTGATATTGAAACTAATACAGATTAACTTTAAGAAATTTTTGAGAGTACTGCTGTATTCTTTTGTGTTATTGTTAGGCGCCGTCGAGCAGGTTCCGACTCATATAAACCCTAGGGCTGAAAAATATCTTGGCAGTTGATATTTGGAAATTTAAGATTAGAGATCATACAAAAAGCCGTTTAAGCTTTAAAAACACAGAAATGATTATAGAAACATGCCCCACTGAAAACTATTTAGGGCTACCCCAAGTCAATGACATAGTGATTCATGGATTTAAGAGTGATAAGATTTATTTTTTAAGATATGAAGGCTTCTCTTGATCTAGTATTTGACCAAAGTATAAATAGTGGTGTCTTAAATACAAATTGGGGAATATTTGCTCTCTTTCAGCTCCAGTGCCATGAAATACTGCATTACATTTGACTGTTTTATCTACACATTGAAATTCCTCAAATGCACATTAGAATTTTGTATAGAAAATTCTATAATGACACTAAAATAATAGTACTTTTCAGTTTTAGAGGCAAATAGTCACCCTTTGTATGTTTTTTCTTTTCCTCTCGTTTGGAAATAAAAGAAAATAAAGCATTAACAGATAGGTGACAATTGCCAAACTGAATATCTGGATAGATATGCAGATGCTAATAGCAAATACTTATTTAAAATACCGGAATTTTCTTTTCACATCTGACTCCGGAATATCCAGTGCGGCAAGAACACACATTGGGAAATATGCATCTGCCTCCATAAAGACACTTTGGATTGCAAATTGCTGTAATACACAAATGTTGACAATTACCTTTTAACATGGAATGCTTGTGACATACTGTATTCCAGTATCTGAAGCTATTTACTAACTGGTCCTCTAAAGGGGGTCAAAAGAAGCTATGAATGGCTGATTGCACTCCCATCTTCCTGGAAACGGAAGACACACATACACACAAACACATAAGGAGAAACAAAATAGTCAAATCTCTAAACACTTTTACAATTCTATAAAGATGTTATTAGAGCAAACAGAAATTTACACTGGCTACATTTTAAAGTACTCTGTCTTTTTTTTAAAGGGAGGGGAGCCAAATCAATAACAGAAAATAATGTTTATAATTTGCTTTTTAACAATTTAGCAAGAATTCAAAAAAGAAAGAATGCAATGCTAGCCAATGTATAAAAAACAGACAATTTCATATACAATCATTAGTAGTTTAGTGTAAAACAACTCTATTGGAAACTTCTTAAAGATTTGCACACTGTGCTAGAAATTTCTCTCTTGAAATCTCTCCCAAGGAAATTAAAAAAATCTATATCTACCTATATATCTACATATGGAGACAATGTTTATAACACTTATAATAGTGTTAAAAATACAATCATGTATTAATTTAAAATAATAACACAATATTTGATTGCTCTATGATTTAATAAACAATTTGCAAATTGGAGAAATGTTCCCTAATACAAGAGGAAGCCCCTTCTAGAGAATGGAGAATTCACAGACTTAAATAACTTTTGCTTAAAGTATAGAGATTTCCCTGGTGAGGACATATTTAATGGCTACTGAGGTAACATTAAAAAGGCAACTACATGGAAGATTCGCCCCTCCACCCACCTGCAGTCCCAAGACCTCAAGAAATTCAAATTGAAGAAGCCCAAGTCTTTCTCATTTAATCACAGGTTAATGGTTTTGTTATGGTCTGCCCTTTGGAACAGCCATTTTGGGTGAGAGCGAGAAAATAAAAAACGGCTGGTGGATTAAGTTTGGGTCAGGAACTTTTACGTTCATGGAAAAGAAAAGCCTTCTTGAAATAAAAGTAAAATATTTGTTTTTAATATCAATACAATTCCACAATAGCAGTAACTTGAAAGTAATTAGAATATTTAACATAAGAAGAAAGGTTAAGTGAATTATGGTATTTACATAATGGAATTTGATATATAGTTTAAAATTACATTTTTAAGGATACAATAAATGCTTTTAAGTAATATTGGGTGAAAATAAGCAGAATATAAAATTATATAGCATATAGTCATTTTTTTAGGGGAGAGGTACTGTTTCAGTATCTCATATTGAAAGCTTGCATTTTTCAAGAACATGTTCTATCTGGTTTTATACCATTTGAAGGAGTGTATTTTCCACAAGGCTGCTGTATACAGTTAGGCAGTTTGTATAAGGCACAAGGACTCCACAGCTAAGGAAGCACCACTTACATTGTGGACTTCATAGATTTGAATCTTTATTACAAAAGCTCGCCAGCAGACGGCAGTAACACATCTTGTTCAAATAATACCAAAACAAAACAAAACAAAACAAAACAAAACAAAAACCAAACGCGTTGCCTTGGAGTCCATTCGGACTCATAGCTACTCTATAGGACCGAGTAGAACTGCCCTATAAGGTTTCCACGGTCGAGTGGTGGATTGAAACTGCCGACTTTTTGGTTAGCACCCAAACGCTTAACTGCTGCGCCACCAGGGCTCCTGTTCAAATAATATCATCACTGTATTAAAAAACCAAACCAAACCCATTGCTCTCCAGTCGATGCCGACTCACAGCGACCCTATAGGACAAAGTAGGACTGCCCCATAGAGTTTCTAAGGAGTGGCTGGTGGATTAGAACTGCTGACCTTTTGGTTAGCAGCCTGAGCTCTTAACCACTGCACCACTGTATTAGGACAGTCATAAAACGTTTTGAGGAATGGGAACTTTTCCTAATCCATACAAAGGTGCTTCAGGGTCCACAAACCATGGCTGTGCCTTTCAGGGCACCTCCATCTACAACCACCGGGCATATTTCTACCTTAATGTGCTTTTAACATCTTTTTAACATTCTCTCTCATGATTCACACAGTACTCTTTCCAGAACAAACAATGCAAATCGTAATTGCTAACTCTTCTTCCTAGCATTTTTGGCTGCTAACCAAAAGGTCGGCAGTTGAAATCCACCAGCCGCTCCTTGGAAACCCTATGGGGCAGTTCTACTCAGTCCTTAGGGTCAGTATGAGTCGGAATTGACTGGACGGCAACAGGTTTGGGGTTTTTTGGTTTTTGGTTCACCAGAAGGAACTTCACGGAAGACCCAAAAACCACATTTGAGACTAGCTATGCTCTTTTTTAAGAGCACTGGTGGTGCAGTGGTTATAGCGTTGGCTGCTAACCAAAATGTCAGCGAGTTGAACCCACCAGCCCCTCCACGGGAGAAAGATGTGGCACTGTTTCCCTAAAGATTTACAGCTTGGAAACCCTATGGGGCAGTTCTGCTCTGTCCTATAGGATCAGTATGAGTCGGAATTGACTCGATGGCAGTGGGTTTGTTTTTTTGGTTTATGCTGTACAAAGTATTGATACATTATACCATACTTTTTTCTTTTAAATGGGTATAAAGTAGACGAACCTTTTTATTTCTAAAACCAAACTTTAAAAAAAAGTATTAGCATCTGGGTCTTCTCTCCCCTACCCCCCAACCCCCATGGCTATGCTTTGTTCAGTTACAACAGATTTAGGCTCATACTGTTTAGGAGGAAACAAATCCTGTAGTCTTCCGTATTTGGCACTGCATTCCCTCCCAGGTAGCTGGACGATGGCACATGCTTGGAGCAATACATTCACCGCCATTTTTACATTTCTGAAAGCAGATAGCTGCAAATATAAACAAGTTGAAAATTTAACTACTAGTCTAATCCTATTAAAAACAACAAAAATTGAAACAAAGAAAACAGATGATGGTTAAAAGTCAAATAATTAAAGGATCTCTTGCCTTAATATTTTGTTAAGAACATTTCCCAATGTCATTACACGTCCTTAGAAAACATGATTTTAATGAATGTACAGTGTTCCATTGTTTACATGCATCATGATTAGATTGTCTCCAATTGTTGGAAGTTTATGATGCCTCCCAGTTTTCACTTCCACAAATACACTGCAATAGCTGCTGATTTTAAATAGTAATTTCATAGAAAGGAAAATTTTTTTCCTCTGATACTCTGAAAGAATGAGTTAATAGGGCTTTGCATTTTACTCTTTCTACTTTAAAGTGGTATCTCCTAAAACAGGAGCAAATAAATAAGTGCAAACAAAAATGAACAAACAAACAAAAACAAGGAAAATGGTCTTTGTTTTGAATTCCCTATGTTCCCACGAAGGATGAAGGCTTAGCATTTGAAGAGTATTCCTCTTACGTGTGTTGCATCGTTTCCGTTTCCAACCAGAAGGACAAGAGCAAATGTTTGGTCCCACACATTTTCCTCCATTCATGCACATAGGATCACAGACGCCTTAAGATAAAAGCATGAAATATCAGCCCTTATGTAGAAACCATTTTGTGAATGCTTCACCTGTAATTGGCAAATACATTTAGGAGTGTCTTACTTTTTTGGCATCTCCTGCCAGCATATCCTTCACGACAGGCACACATGTTACTTCTCATGCAGTGGCCACCATTCTTACAGGGAGGGTGACAGATAGCTGAAAGAACACAAGGCAGCAATCTGTGATTATTACATGTTGAATTTTCATATACTACATATGGCATCGTGTACTTGTTATCTACAAGGCCACAAGGCAGAGGGATATGCTATTAAAATAAAAGATCACAACTGCAAGCCATTAAACTGTCCCTTCTAAATCATAAAATCCAACGCTTGTAGCTATACGCTGCCAGTGGCTTAGCACAAGTTGAAATGTATTGCTGAAATGTCCATAACGAATGAAGTCTATAGTATTATAGTCCACATATTATGAAACTTCTGTTCCACCATACTTAGAATTAAAGAATGAAATGGTCAGGTCAAAACCCAAGAAAACAAGTCAGAACCAAGCTCAAAATAAGAATGTACGTGTTTTTGTGGAAATTAGAAGGATTTCAACAACCTAGCATGTGATAATTAAAAATATTTTAAAATAGACTTTTGAATACCTACCAAGGTAATGAAGGTGGAACTTTATATGTAACATATTCCTGTGAAGGGTTGGTACAAATCTCAACAGTAAATCCTTGGTTTTGTTAGGAATAATTTATTGGATAATCTTGAATACTTTTTACTAGTATCATCTGTGTATATAATTCTGTTCTATGCAATTCAGAGACTGAGATCATCTTTTATGAAATTATTATTATCGCTTCATGTTTCTTTCAAATATGAAAATCAAATAGTTATTTTTAAAATAATATCCAGGCAAACCGGCCTGGAGTTTGTAAAAAACATTTAATCTTTCTCAAAATGCTAATTAAATAGATTAATAACTTTCCAAAATCTTGGGTACCATTCAGGCTTAGGAATTAGTTTACTCTTTTACAAATGGATGTTCAATTAACTGATTTTGGTAACAGTGCTGGCGTAGGCTGCCTCCCAGTTTGCATGAGAGCTTTCTTAAATAGCAGCATTCTTTATTTCCAAACACTGTAAGGACAATTCCTCTGACATCAAAGAGTTGTACAAATGAAAATAATGTAGTATTTTAGCTATAAAACAATGTAACTGAATGCTTTTAGTAAGTGGATAATTTCCACTCTTTTAGGCTGAATCTTTTCTGGTTCATGCCTGAGTCACTTTCTCTCATGTAGTGTTATACTAGTACTTTTTATTAATCTAGAAATGCTCTTCCATTTTATGTAATTTGAGATTATTTTCTATTTATTAGGGAAAATTAATTAGACGGCAAAAGTACCAAAGGAAATGCCAATGATTAGAAATGTTAAAGTAAAAAAAAAAAAAACTGATTATAAGACTTGCTATAATGGATAAACATCCACAAAGACTTGAATGTAGTGATAAAGACCATATTTATGCAAAAATACACATACAATTGAAAATAATATTTGATAAAAGGCATAAATATTAAACTTGGTCATGCCCACCACAATCCCATTTTAGGAAAAAGAAAGTTTATTGGAAAATCTATCCTCACACATTTATTTGGGGATTTTATTGGCCTCCGATGAATCTCCCATCAGACCCCAAAGTGAGCCAAATAATGGGGGCTCACCTTCCATGAGGAATGGGCTTATGGCATCCAAGAGGCTAAGAAAATCGGAAGATATATTTAAAATAATCTCTCCAACCAGCCATTTTAACCTTCCTTATTAATAAAGTCGTTTAGGCCTTTGCTGATGTTTCTACCTCAATTTCTCTCTTCCTCTTTTGAAATTCTATAGCACACACAGCATATGCTCCTCATGTTTATTTTTAGCCATATTCTACCTGATTGTATTCAATTGCTTTTGGTGTGTATGTGCCATCTTCCCTTCCACCATTTGGCCTCACAAGAATAAATGTCATGTTCTTTTGTTTTAGTTTTTCCCCTGCATCTTTCATGGCATGTCTTAATGACAATAATAAGACCACTTATGGTGGCCAACCATGTGCTGATCGGCCACTGTAGGTGCAGGTAGTCCACTGCGTGTCTAGTTTACACCTTGCAGCAACTGTCTAGATCAAACTAAGTCTGAGGCCAGAAAGTTTAAGGGAATTTCCAAAGTCCATGATTGTTAGTTGCAGAAACTAGCAAACTCCCAAACCTGCTTTACTCCCACTACAGGAACCTGTTTCCCAGGCTCTAAGCACATGGCATATGCTCAACAGATAATTTTTAATTCAACTTAATAATTTAGACATGTCTTCCTTTTTCCAGTTACATAGGCTGGCATACAAGTTTTGGAGAAAGAGAATTTCCTCACTATAGTTTCCATCGATTGCAAGTAGCATGAGAAACGTAAGCATCTCTGTTTCCCTTCTTACATTCGTCGCTCAGAGCCACATCTATAACTCTTTGGCAGGGGTTTAGTCACAGTATCCTAGTTTTCAACATATGTCTTAATTTAGTCTTCACTTCTTTTCATTTTTCAAAGTAGTTTCTCAAGGAAATCTGAATTAAAGGAGCTCATTTCCTACGCCCATATATTTCATATTAACCCAACCCATTGCCACTGAGTCAATTCTGACTCATGGCGACCATATAGGACAGAGTAGAACTGCCCTATAGGGTTTCCAAGGAGCAGCTGCTGGATTTGAACTGCTGACTTTTTGGTTAGCAGCCTAAGCTCTTAACCACTGTGAAACCAAGTGAAGATTTCTTTTCTGCCTCAATGTCATCTTGAGAATCCTAGCAAAAACTCCAAATAAAAGCATAGGATTATAAATTAAAGTATAATACTGCAAGGAAAGTGTAGATTTTATAAGTTAAATTATGACATGTTCTATATAAAAAATCTCTACATTTTGTAGAAATTCAATAAATATAAAGATGCAGAAAATATATCTTAAATATCATTTATTGAAATTAATTCATGTCTGCACTGTCAGCCTCAGAGCATTCACATTATTCTGATGAAACCTACAGCATTAATTATGTTACAGAAGGAGTCACAAACAGCAGGCCATGAAGGGGGAAAATGATGGCTCTTTATTTCCCACATCATTTTGCACAGTGTTGTGCATAGGATTCATAAATGTTTAATGAAACTAAAGTCAAGAGAGATCATGGGATAGTAGTGGGCATTAGATTGACCATAAATCAACCATTTTTTTCTGTGAAGGCAGCAAAAATGACACCATTTCATTATAATGGACTGCAAGAGAACTTTGCTTATTTGATTTTTATAACTTAGTCCTATGAAACCATATAGACAAGTGACAAGGTTGCAAGTCAAGCATGTGTTGGGTAAATATAACCCTTTTATATGATAACTCTGGTAAATTTCTATGAACTGGTCATTTAGTGGCCAAATCTGCAATATCTGAATAGAGCACTGAAATAAATAGCATCTTCCCCTTAGAAACTGTCTCATTTTTACTCAAAGTTCTATTTATTAATAACGTTTCCTTTGACTTTTATAAACAAAAGATCGTTACCATTCTGACATTGTGCACCAAAGAATCCATTTGGACAGAGGCAAGTGTTTGGCTTATTACAAGAACCACCATTGAGGCAAACGGGGTCACACAAAGCTAATGAAAACAGGAGGGAAACAGACCGTAAAAGTTTTACTATTTAATAAAAAACTGAAAGCTTCACAAAAGTACAAAACAGTGCATAATGAAATATTTCATTTTTACTTCAAGTAAAACTCAAAAACCTAAAACCAAACCCACTGCCATCAAGTCGATTCTGACTCATAGCAACCCTATAGGACAGAGTAGAACTGCCTCATAGGGCTTCCAAGGCCGTAAATCTTTACTGAAGCAGACTGCCACATCGTTTTTCTGTGGAGTGACTGGTCGGTTTGAACTGCCAACCTCTTGGCTAGTAGCCGAGTGCATTAACCACTGTGTCACCGTAAAAGAAGAGGAATGAAATAACTGGGTGATAGCTTTGAATGTATGTTCATTACGTTTACAAATAATAACAAGGCCTTGGTAAACTGAAGAAATGACAGGAAGTCAAGAAAACACAAGTCAACAGCACTAACTGGATGGCTTCTAATCTGCTCAAATACATTTGGCCATGTGTAATTCTTTAAGTCACCCCCATTCAAACAGGAACACTGCACGCAAGTCCTAGTACATTCAAAACATTCTCTGCTTTTGCTTCTTTACCTTTGCTCCACTTAGAAAGGCACCCCCAATCCCATTTTTCGACCTAGAGTGTACCCATTCCAAATACTACCTCAAACACTATTTTCTTCCCACCTCCATTTGCTGGAATTAATTTCTCTCTTCTCTGTTTCCGAAGAACTGTGCACCATTTTATGTTACTTATCACAACCCAACTTACATGGTAATTATTTTTTATAACTCTAACTCATGTCTCCTTCACTAATAATATGTTACTTGAAATCACGACAAAATTACATTGATCCTAGTCTCTCATTACATCACACCTCACACATAGTTGGTAGGTCATAAATGCTTAATTGAGTTGACACTGAGAAAATCCCAAAGGACATTAGATTAAGCATGGATAAACACAAACACTGCTGCCAAGTAAGCAAACCTGAAACTGTGATAAATAAATGGAATTACATTAGTACTAACATGATGGGCGTCTACTTCATTCAGAATTGCATGGATATTTAATGAAATATAATGTGTGTACTGTGGTCAAAAAACTTAACATAGAAGATGCAACAAAGTTCTGTTTCTCTCCACCATGACCCAGGCAGGTAGAGTGAGAGAAATATAAAGTCAAAAAAATTAGTTGGATAGGATTAGAGGAGGGCAGTAAAACACTGTGTAGTCTAATATAAGAAGAAAAAAATGAAGATTAGAGATAGGGTTTTAAAAAATCAGGAGTCCATGGGTGTTGTAAACAGTTAACACACTCAGCTGTTAAGCCAAACGTTGGAAGTTAAGAGTCCACACAGAGGCACCTTGGAAGAAAGACCTGGTGATCTATTTCCAAAAAATCAGCCATTGAAAACTCTATGGAACATAGTTCTACTCAGATACACATGGGGTCACAATGAGTTGGAATCAATTCAGTGGCAATTGGCTGTTTGAAAAATCCATCTGAAATAACAACCTCAGCCCATACCAGTCTTGTCAGATCAGTTTTATGTTTCCTAGGTGCAAAGTCTTTAGGACATGGCCACATTTTAAGTTTCTTTTAACAGACATAGTCATTGAAAATATTTCTGATTTTACCTGTACTACAGGTGGGTCCATACCAGCCAGGTTTGCACTGGCAAACATCTGGTGTAAGACATTCACCTCCATTTTCACAGTGCCTGTTACAAATCACTAAGATCATGAAATAAGAATAGAAGAAAGGTCAATGAGACTTGGGATGATCATATTGTTGGCTATTACCTACCCAACTCATAACTGCCAATCACATCTGCTAATATCAGAGAGAAAAATAAAATATAATTTATACTTTGGCTTTGAAAGCCATTCAATTCTCAAACTCAGTTGTTTTTTGCTAATAAAATGGAAAAAGAAAAAAACACTGAGTGGTAAATAAGCGTTGGGTATTTGGGAAAACTATTAGTTGCTGATGAAAGCAGTCACAAGTATAAATTAAATGTGATAAACTTATATGCAAATAATAAATAGAAATTGCTGCTGTCTCAAAGAACAAACTTCTTTATCTTAGTACTGCTCCTCTGTAGCTGCTCCAGGTGATATGTAGGATGGAAACGACATTGGTAACTAATCATGAATGTGTGCTCTTTACTTAGGGTTTGTGTTCATCTCATTTAGTTTAGCCATCAATGAGTCAAAGGAGCAGTATCATTATAACAGACTGCAAGAGAGTTTTGCTTACTTGTTTCACATCTTCGTCCTACAAAACCGTAAGGACAAGTGCAAAGATTGCCAGCCAAGCACGTGCCACTATGTCCACAAGGTGGGTTACAATGTTCTGCAGACACAGATTATGTTATTAAGTCAGGTCTTAACAAGTTAGTTTGTAATTACGATGCACAGCCACAATTAAACCTTGTGGTAAGAGCAACTTACAATGAGCTCCCTTTTACTGTGAAGATTAGCTCTATGGGACTGACTATATGGGTTAACACGCACACGTCGTCAGCATGCTTTCGTTTAGAAAACGTTTGCTTAAATTGATGCATAACTGACCTAAAGTTTCTTTTGAAAAGTGAGACTTAGAATTTATGTATCCCTACCCTATAAATGAATAAACATTTCTATATTTCCTTAGTTATTTTCATATGATATTTACATTAAATATTTCCATTCATTCATCCTAAATTTACTTTAATTTGTTAATTTGTACCTTACCTGGTCATGAAAATACTTAAGGTCACTCACAACTTATTAATAACTGTATGGACCATTTACCAAAGTATATTCTTTTATAATATTATTTTTAAAAATAAGCAACAAATTTATTTCTTTAAAATATCATACATTTTAGAAATGCCATTTAATAAATTCTCCATTTTAGATTTAAACCAAAACAATGAAATTGCAAGGCTATAGACATCCTTAAAAGATCTTTTTGGGTTTCTTCTTACTACCTGCTATCTTCTATTTGGCGATTAACATTTCCTTGGAACAATATATTTGACAAGTCATTCAATAATTAGGTGTCCTTTGCTTGATGCTAAAGTATCTGTAGGGGTAAATTGGCACCTTATAACTAAATCTCAAGAAATTATTTCAGGAGATAATTTCGCCAAAGACAAAAAAAGTTTCTGCTGTAGGAGCTCTGATTTTGGAAACTTTAAGTTTTTAAAATCTACAAATAAAATTACTTTCAATAAACGTTTAGAAAACTCATAGCCCCTCAGCAACATTAATAAATAAGTATTAATATAGACACAGTAAAACGGAATCCTCTTTAGAAAAGATTTTAAAGGAAAAATGAAGTACTTTATTTTGGCTCTTCTACTTGATTTTTTATTTGAATTATCACCTTCATCACAGGTTGCTCCATCGTGTCCTGGAGGACATTCACAAATGTTAGGGTTCATATATTTTCCATGGTTTTTCCAGTCAGGGTGACATACCGCTGTATAAAAGAAAAACCATGGTTTAGAATAACCAAAAAACCAAAACCAAACCCATTGCCATCAAGTCAATTCCAACTCATAGTGACCCTATAGGACAGAGGAGAACTGCTCCATACAGCTTCCAAGGAGCAGCTGGTGGATTTGAACTGCTGACATTTTGGTTAGCAGCTGTAGCTCACAATACCTCTTAACCACTGTGCCACCAGAGCTCCTGGTTTAGAATATTATTAATTAAATTCATTACATAAACTAATGAAATTTGTACCTACCAGTTTGGCAGTTAGAAACAGTGTAACCAGGTTTACATTTGCATATATCTGGGGCAACGGACTCCCTGCTTTTTCCACATGGGTGTCTACACATGGCTGTAAAAGTCAAGGAAAAAAGAGTTAATTGTCAATATAGTATACATTTTGCCCATAGACTTAGTTATAGTGAAAGCAAAATTATCTGAAATTTGAAAACATTCATACTATTATTAAACAATAACCACTATATTTACCTATATCATTATTTTCCCTGATATTTATTTTACTACTATAATGACTGAGGAAAACATTTAAAGGTAAAAAAGAAGCATCACAGGTGGTATTTACTCCCATAGCAGAACCTGATCAGGATTGGCGGCTAACCGTAAATGGGATGAGTCTTTTTCAGGGGAAAATGAAGACGTTTCAGATACTAATCAAATGCTGGTGAATGCCAGGGATAATCATAATTTCAAGATCAAGATGCCAGGAAAATTTTAAGCTTATTCCTTAAACTTCTTCTATCTGCCTGATATCTTCTAACTAGTTGGCACTTAACACTTTGTGAAGTGGCTGAAATGCATGAGGTTATTTTGTTTTATTCCTAAATAAAAAGGAGTTTTCTTTTATCAACACTTAGCTAGTGACATTTTTATTATTATCATTCCCACAAAAAAGAGAAAAACAAAATTTCCTCTAGGTAACAGTAAGAATGAAAGGAATTCTCCAACAGCTCTCTTGCTTAAATTTGCTTTCAAATAGGCCAAAACACAAACAAAACAATAACAAAAAAAATAACTTCTACGTTGTGAATGCCAAAGATTTGATTTGTATCACATAAAACAATACTGATGATTGTGAAAAGATGTAAACATTTCTTTCAAAATTAAAGCCATGCACTTCTTTTATCCCCAGAAGAACAGGAAGAATTACAAGAAACCTAGTTTATGCAAGTGAGTAAATGTGTCAGAATTAGTAACCTGAAATGGCAAATGCCCACTGTGAGTTGAAAAGAATCCAAACCACAATGTTAATCAGGCCTATATCCACATCCTCATTTTATCTCCTTAGCTGCTTCACATCAGGGGAGTCAATTAGCCCTCCAAGGTTCTTCTTCCTCATCTGCAAAGTGGGAAAAATAACACCTACTCTGTGGGGTTTTTGTGGATTATATGACATTATTGGTACAGAATATTTCCATAGACCCTGAAACACAGTAGGTAGGTATGCAACAAATATTACATTTATAATATATATTATATAGTTGCAATACTATATAATATTAACATTATTTTAAAAACAGAAAAAAAGTTTTTTCTTCTATTAAAGGATATACAGAAAATGAAGAAATTAGAAATAAATAAATGGAATCAATAGATATGAATAAATAGAAAAGCATTTCTTAATTGCTTAAATTTGAACTAGATAATTTTCTTTGAGTCTTCCAAAGAGTTTTTATACTACCTCTGCAACTGATACCATCTCCATAATACCCAAATGGACAGCATCCACATTTGAAATGACCATCTGTGGTTGGCACACAGGAAACACCAAGAAAACGAGGTGAATCAGCACAAGTTGATATTTTGGTCGATCCAGGCTTTTCTGGTGAGACAGTGATTGCTCTAGTAACTGATGATGCAAACCCATCCTTATACTGTGTGTGGCCTTGGCAAGACCTGTAAACTTGAGAATTATACTCTCCTGCCTCTGTTTGGATGGTGCTCTGAAAAACATCCTTTGCTTTGCCACGGGAGCTTTTTGGGTTGATGCTTAAAGAACTAAGGTTGTTCATAGAAACTTCCAACTCATCCAGACTGATATTTGTGCTGACAGCATGATCCACGTGTTCAAAACCTGATATATGATAGGAAATAAACTTCTTTGAATTATTCATTTGAGTTGTAACTGATTTTAATAAGTGCAAGATATGGTTAGTTGTGTCCAAGAACTTTTTGATAGTAGGAGGACTATGGGTAAAGCCTGTACCAATTGGTGAATTCTCAGTTGATGATGGATGAGAATCTATATCTAAACAACAGAAAAACAAACAGAAATGTTAGTCAATAACATTTATTAATGCTCTGCTTTACTCACAGTTTGGTAGTGAGTAATTCATTTCTTTATTTAGTGTCTACTATGTGTATAACAGGGTCTTGGTGGCACAGTGGTTAACAGCTTGGCTGCTAACCAAAAGGTCTGGCAGTTTGAATCTACCACCCACTTCTTGGAAACCCTATGGGGCAGTTTTACTCTCTCCTATAGGGTTGCTGAGTCAGAATCCACTTGACAGCATCGGGTTAGGTTTTTTTTTTTTTTTTTTTTTTTTTTAGTGTGTGTAACAAGGATCCCTGGTGACACAGTGGCTAAGCACTCGACTGCTAACCTAAAGGACAGAGATTTGAACCTACCAGCCACTCCATGGCAGAAAGATGTGGCAATCTGCTTCTGTAAAGATCACAGCCTTGGAAACCATATGGGGAAGTTCTATAGGATCCTATAGGATCTCTCTGAGTCAGAATCAACTCCATGGCAATGGGTTTTGTTTTGGGTTTATAACACTATAGGAACTGGGCTATAATAAGTCATGAACTTGTTCTTGCCTTCAAGAAATTTATAACCTATTTGGGTACAAAAGATCACTTGGAATGTTGGACAGCATAAAAGTTAAAGAACAATAATTAATGATTTTATTAAAAATTAGAAATGACCGCCAGAGTGAAAGTATTATTAAATCAAAGCATCATGAGTAAGAACATACAATTCAAATGTCACTTGAATTAAACACATTGCAAATGAGATTAGAGAACTAGTTTAAAATGTCACCTGTCCTCAGTCCCATTCATCCACCCAATCAATTTCTTCCAACTCTATGCTCTCACAGAACTGTGTTCTTCATGATATTAACTCTTACGTGTCCCTTTCCTCTACTAGTTAGTAATAATCTCAAGAATAACAACTGTGCTTTACTTATTTTTATATGCATTGACTCTGGTGCCTAACACAAAACTCACTAAACACCAACAATAATCAAAAATTCTTTGGATTTGTTGACATTGTCACGGGGTTGGCACCATTGTCACAAAACAATATGTGTATTAATTGTTTAACGAGAAACTATTTTGCTCTGTAAACTTTCATCTAAAGTACAATAAAAAAAAAACTAGAAAAGAAATTCTTTGGATTAATAAGTATCTTCCTAAAATACAGAATACTTATGACAAAATGAAGAGATTTGTTAGTTATTCATGCACCATGGAATTTGGTTCCACTTGCTTTCCTTTTTAATCCCAGTTGTGAAAGGTTTTACTGAGGGAATGGACCTCTTTGACTGGAAAAGAGGGATGTTAAATCACTTAAGTGCATAGAGTGGAACGTGTGATGGTGTTGAGTACTAGGCACTGGATATTGAAGGAGAAATGCGAGTTGCTGAAATAGCAGAGAATTCCCCTTGCCATACTGCACTGTGCTCATCATTTTTGTTACCTCCAGCGCTAGACAGGCTCACACCAATTTGAAGCACAAGGTGGTATTACCTCATTAACATATGCTTTTCATCAGAATAGGATCCCATTAGCTTAAGTACACTAAAGGTATTGTTCTTTAATACTGTCTTCTATAACTTATATTTCTACTTAAATCTTTTGAAATGTTAATGTCCACCAATATTTTTTGTCCTCTTTTTTAATTCAGTGTTCCCCCTGGGCAATTTCATCCCATGGCTGATGACCTAGAGAATTGTATCTTTAACTCAGTCCTCTTTCCTGAGCTCCACTTGTATAGTCCTCAGTCTCTATGTGTCCATTATCTTCCCCCTCCAAATTCTTTTTTTTTCATATTGCATGTGACTGCCAATTCTGCACTCCCATTCTCCTAAACTTGAAACTTAATCGCTCTTAATTGCTCTTTTTCCCTCACCATTCTAAGTCTACTTACTGTCAATTTACTTTTTTAGCATCTCTTTCATCCAGTCTCACCTTACCTTAGGTCAAAACATCTTCAAGTGTTGCTATATATTTCAATAATGTCTTAGCTCTTCTTCTCACTTTTGGACTTACCCAGCTCCTTCCCTAAAAATGGGCCATTCTTCAGACTACTCCTTAAATGAACTTTCTCAGATGTAAACCTTATCATGTTCCTCTTCTACTTCAAAATCTACTTCAAAATCCTATTTAAAAAGTGACCCCAAGTCTTGTCAGTGATGTGGCCACAAGCTACCTTTCTAGCTTCAGCTCTTACAGAGCTACACCCTTACCTCCTATGCTCTAGAAACACTGAATTATTCACAGTGCTAAAGGTGTGCTGTGATGTAACTTGCCTCTGTACATTTTCTCATGCTGTTTCTTCTTCCTAGAATCCCTTCTCTCTCCTAGTCTTGATTAAGGAGATAATATTGGAGCCACTATTCCCTGTCCTTGAGCACAGAGAATGTGACCCAGCTGGAGCTGGACTCACAAGGACACATCAACTGGGCCCTGAAATATAAAGACAATAGCTGGGACAATCTTGGAAAATATCTTCTAGGGAACTTCTCACATAAACCAATCAAACAGAACACAAAAGACTTTCCGCTCTTATCTTTTTCTATTAGCATTTAGTCAATAGAAAATTCATTGGACCAATGAAGCCCTCCTGACTGTTACTGAAACCTGTACCAATGATTATTAAGATGATTCAAAATGCAGAATCACTTTGATTTAGTAGTTTTATGTCAGTCAGTGAAAAGGTGAAGCTTTCAATGATTTTACCCATTTGTGATGTTAATATATACTGATGATTCTGTAAACGTTCCTCAGATTCGGGCAGACCTTAGTTCTGGCAGCATGCTTGTCCGCTTCCCACTCTTGCCTTTTTGAATATATGCCTAATAAAATTTCTCTTTTTTCTTTACTAAACTTTGTGATGTTTTTACCCTAGAACATCTGATACCTCAGATTCAGCCCTAGTGATACTTCCTTTTCTTTACCCTTTCAGGCAGATGTGATTCCTTGGGTAGTGTTTCTACTGTTCCCTGTAGGAACTTTAATCAAAATACAAAGAATACTGTATTGTGCTTTTTTAAATTACATGCCATACTCCCTGCTATCACATTCTAACCTATTAAGTCAGAGGATATGTCTTATTTATTTCTGCATCATCTGGATCTAGCTTGTTGCAGGACACAATGCATATATACTGAATGAGTGAACGAGAGAAAGAGTAAATATAACAGTGATTTAAATTAATTAAATGCAACAAAGAAACTCTCATGGCAGAAAATAGGGACATTAACCATGACACATGTTTCCATCACCATAAAGTCCTTTTGGACATGAACCACAATGATAGGAACCAAAGGTGTTGAGGCACTCTACTCCTGGAAAGCAAGGACTGAATTCACTCATCAACATCTTCCTGGCAATTTTTGCCTAAACAAAATATAGATCAAGAGTTCAAGTTATTTAATTTAAAAATATTAGATGTCCAATCAGGTGCTCATTATTTGATTTCCCGTACTCTTTTTTTTTGTTTGTTTGTTTGTTTATTGTTGTAGTTTAAATGAAATTTACATTTCAAGTTAGTCTGTCATACAAAAATTTATACATACATTGTTTTGTGACCCTAACTGCTCTCCCCATACTGTGACAGCACACTCCTCCTTTCCACCTGATTCCCCATGTCCATTCAACCAGCTCCTAACCCACTCTGCTTTCCCATCTCACCTCCGGACAGAAGCTGCCGTTTAGTCTTTTGTATCTACTTGAGCCAAGAGACACACTTCTCATGACTATCACTTTATGTCTCACAGTCCAGTCCAATCCCTGTCTGAAGAGTTGGCCTCGGAAATGGTTTTCATTCTGGGCTGATAGAGACTCTGGGAGCCATGCTTTCCGGGGTTCCTCCAGCCTCATTCAGACCATTAAGTCTGGTCTTCTTACTAGAATTTGAGTTCTGCACCCCACCTTTCTCCTGCTCCATCAGGGACTCTCTGTTGTGTTCCCTGTCAGGGCGGTCATTGGTAGTAGCCAGACACCATCTAGTTCTTTTGATCTCAGGCTGATGAAGTCTCTGGTTTATGTGGCCCTTTCTGTCTCTTGGGCTAATACTTTCCTTGTGTCTTTGGTGTTCTTCATTCTCCTTTACTCCAGGTGGTTGAGACCAATTGATGCATCTTACATGGCCGCTTGCAAGCTTTTAAGACCCCAGACGCCACTCACCAAAGTAGGATGCAGAACATTTTCTTAATAAGCTTTGTTATGTCAGTTGACCTAGATGTCCCCTGAAAGCATGGTCCCTAGACCTCTACCCCACAACTCTGTCCCTCAAAGTGTTTGATTATATTCAGGAAACTTCTTAGCTTTGGTTTAGTCCAGTTGTGCTGACTTCTCCTGTAGTGTGTGCTGTCCTTCCCTTCACCTAAGATAATTCTTATCTACTATTTAGTTAGTAAATAACCCTCACCCTCCCTCCCCACCCTTGTAACCATCAAAGAATGTTTTCTTCTGTGTTTAAACCTTTTCTTGAGTTCTTATACAATATTTGTCCTTCTGTGACCGACTAAAATCACTCAGTGTAATGCCCTCCAGATCCCTCCATGTTATAAGATGTTTCATGGCTTCATCGTTGTTCTTTATCATTGCGTAGTATTCCATTGTGTGGATATGCCATAATTTTTTTATCCATTCGTCCATTGATGGGCACATAGGTTGTTTCCATCTTTTTGCTATTGTGAACAGTGATGCAATGAACATGGGTGTGCATATATCTATTCGTGTGACGGCTTTTGTTTCTCTAGGATATATTCCAAGGAGTGTCTGTTAGCCGCCTGAATATCTTCTTTGGCGAAGTGCCTGTTCATATCCTTTGCCCATTTTTTAATTGGGCTATTTGTCTTTTTGTTGTTGAGGTTTTGCAATATCTTGTAGATTTTAGAGATTAGATGCTGATCAGATTTGTCATAGCCAAAAATTTTTTCCCAGTCTGTAGGTTGTCTTTTAACTCTTTTGGTGAAGTCTTTTGATGAGCATAAGTGTTTGATTTTTAGGAGCTTTCAGTTATCTAGTTTCTTTTCTAGTGCTTGTGCATTGTTACTTACGGTTCATATGAGTTTATGCCATGTATTAGTGCTCCTAGCATTGTCCCTATTTTTTCTTCCATGATCTTTATCATTTTCAATTTTATATTTAAGTCTTTGATCCATTTTGAGTTAGTTTTTGTGCATGGTGTGAGGTATGGGTTTTGTTTCAGTGTTTTGTAGACGGATATCCAGTTATGCCAGCACCATTTGTTAAAGAGACTGTCTTTTCCCCAATTAATGGAATTTGGGCCTGTGTCAAATATCAGCTGCTCATAAGTGGATGAATTTATGTCTGAATTCTTAATTCTGTTCCATTGGTCTACATATCTGTTGTTGTACCAGTACCAGGTTGTTTTGATTACTGTGGTAGTTTAATAGGTTCTAAAATCAGGTAGTGTGAGGCATCCCACTTTGTTCTTTTTCTTCAGTAATGCTTTATTTATCTGGGGCCTCTACCCTTTCCATACAAAGTTGGTGATTTGTTTCTCCATCTCATTAAAAAATGCCATTGGAATTTGGATGGGGATTGCATCGTATCTGTAGATCGCTTTGGTTTCACAATGTTGAGTCTTCCTATCCATGAGCAAGGTATGTTTTCCCACTTATGCAGGTCTCTTTGTGTTTCTTGCAGTAGTGTCTAGTGGTTTCATTGTATAGGTCTTTTACGCCTCTGGTTAGATTTATTCCTAAGTATTTTATCTTCTTGGGGGCTACTGTAAATGGTATTGATTTGGTGATTTCCTCTTTGAGGTTCTCTTTGTTGGTGTAAAAGAATTCAACTGATTTTTGTATATTTATCTAGTATCCTGAAACTTTGCTGAAATCTTCTATTAGTTCCAGTAGTTTTCTTATGGATTCCTTGGGGATTTCTGTATATAAGATCATATCATCTGCAAATAGAGACACTTTGACTTCTTCCCTTACAATCTGGATGCCGTTTATTTATTTTTCTAGCCTAATTGCTCTGGCTAAGACCTCCAGCACAATGTTGAATAAAAGTGGTGATAAAGGGCATCCTTGTCTGCTTCCCATTCTCAAGGGGAATGCTTTCAAAGTCTCCCCATTTAGGATGATGTTGGCTGTTGGCTTTGTATAAATGCCCTTAATTATATTGAGGAATTTCCCTTCTATTCCTATTTTGTTGAGGTTTTTACCATGAATGGGTGTTGGACTTTGTCAAATGCCTTTTCTGCATCAATTGATAAATTCATGTGGTTCTTGTCTTTTGTTTTATTTATGTGATGGACTACATTGATTTTTTCTAATGTTGAACCGTCCCTGCATACTTGGTATAAATGCCACTTGATCATGGTGAATTATTTTTTTGATATGCTGCTGAATTCCATTGGCTAGAATTTTGTTGAGGATTTTTGCGTCAATGTTCATGAGGGATATAGGTCTGTAATTTTCTTTGTTTGTGGTGTCTTTACCTGGTTTTGGTATCAGGGTTATGCTGGTTTCATAGAATGAGTTTGGGAGTATTCCATGCTTTTCTATGCTCTGAAATACCTTTAGTAGTAGTGGTGTTAACTCTTTGCTGAAAGTTTGGTAGAATTCTCCAGTGAAGCCATCCAGGCCAGGGCTTTTTTTTTGTTGGGAGTTTTTAAATTATCTTTTCAGTCTCTTTTTTCTTAAGGGATTATTTAGTTGTTCTACCTGTGTTTGTGTTAGTTTAGGTAGGTTGTGAGTTTCTAGAAATTTGTCCATTTCTTCTAGGTTTTCAAATTTGTTAGAGTACAATTTTTCATAGTATTCTGTTATGATTCTTTTAATTTCAGTTGGCTCTGCTGTGATATCACCCATCGCATTTCTTATACGGGTTATTCGCTTCCTCTCCTGTTTTTCTTGATTTCCTCTACTCTTTATGTATGCCATTCTAACGTGAAAAAAGTGGTCAAATACATTATGAAGGGAGAATGATGCTGCAGTTACAATATATTATATATTAAATATAGAGTTATTAGTTAATTCCATTTAACAATCCACCAGATTCTTCAGTACATGAGATTTTCCCTAGAACTAAGATGATTTAGGAAGTCCACTAATATTTTTAAGGCATAAAATTACCATATTATGGTAGCAATTTCTACGTTGTTTAGAAACTCAGTGATTTAAAAAAAAAGGTATTTGGAACAGTTTCCTTCTTAGCTTAAGGACATTTTGGTCAGCCAGTTATGGTGCTGGCTGTGAAATTCCATGAAAATTTTACACTGTGTTAGAAAATTCAGCCTTGGGATTTCAATAAAAATTTTTGAGATAAAGTGATGCTTTTTGGAATACTTAACAGCTTCTTTGAATGAATAAATTCATAGTCATTAATGGTAACCAATATTATAGAAAAATCTATGACGTATCAATGGGGGAAAATTTGAATTCTTTCAAATGTCTATAGCACAATATGATAGAAGAAAATAAAAGGTACCTATATTCATAGTCCCAAATGATGAAATTTTTATTTTAAAATGCTGAGGAAAATTAGAAGACACTTAAATATTCTGCTTAGTTCTGTTATAATGTTAAAATAGGTGTCTTCAAGAAAAATATCACTAAATTATTGCATATTTACTTACTTAACATTTACATCTATTTAAATTAAATTAAATATTGGTATGTATTTTTTAAAGTCTTGAAATTTAAAGATCATCAGTTATATGCTTACTTGGGATTACTGGAATCAAGCATTTTAGGACAATAAAGAAGTTAGCAAATACGATAAAAGTTCATTTCATTTCTATCTAACTTCATACCACAATATTTCTAAATTAATGAATTATAGATAAAACCTCTTTGGTGATTATTTTATGTTGCTATAGTCATAATTTTTTATATTTTTCCATATTATATTCTAATAACAATGTCATGGTTTGAATTATGTCCCCCCAAAAATGTGTGTATCAGTTTGGCTGGGCCATGATTCCTGGTATTGTGTGATTTTCTTATATATTGTAAATCCTGCCTCTATGATGTTAACGAGGGAGGATGGGTGGCAGTTGTGTTCATAAGGCAGGACCTGATCTACAAGACCGGATTGTGTCCTGAGGCAATCTCTTGACATATAAAAGACAAAAGTGAGCAGTGAGACAGGGGAACCTCACACCATCAAGAAAGCAGTGCCAGGAGCAGAGTGCGTCCTTTGGACCAGGGTCCCTGCGCAGAGAAGCTCCTAGTCCGGGGGAACACTGAAGAGAAGAAGGCCCACAGAGAGAAAAAGCCTTCCCCTGGAGCTGATGCCCTGAATTTGGACTTTTAGCCTACTTTAACTGTGAGGAAATAAACTTCTCTTCCTTAAAACCATCCTCTTGTGGTATTTCTGTTATAGCAGCCCTAGATGACTAAAACAATATATTTAAATATATTTCTACATCCCAACTATAAACAGGAATGCTTATAAACTTGCAAAAGGCAGTATAGACATACAATATTGCTATTAAAACTAGAAAAGTAAGCAAAATTACAACGGTACATGTAAGCAATACAAAACCAAGGAATATGGATAGTAAATACATTTTTGATGATTTTTTATTAGAATTTTAAAAACGTTTATCAAAATCTTTAGGACCACACACATGCTTGAGAAATCTATAGATGAAATTTCCAAGGCATTTTCCTTTCTAATTTGTTCACACTCTGATTTGGTTCATAAGAAACCAGAACTTACCTTTGAGCTCAGATGGACAATCACAGGAATAATTGTGAAAACCACTAATACATTGGCCACGGCCACAGGGGCTAGATTGGCACTCACTGATGTCTACTTCACAAAGACCACCCTGAAAGCCAGGCAAGCAGACACACAGGTACACTCCACTTCCTGGTGGAAAGTTAATGTCAGACACACATGATCCACCATTCAAGCAATCACAAGACTTCACAGTCACCTACAAGAGAAACAAAAAGTAAATGCTTTACTTTGCAATAAAATTTTCTTCAGTTTATGCCCCTGGAATCATGATAGGCGTGCATGTTTATGTACAAGTAGGACCAAATCACACATTTTTGCAAACAATTTTTAAAAATATATTTAATAGCATGGTAAAACCATTTAAAAAATGGTTTAATAAGGCAATTATACCATAGCATAGCCAGAATACAGATGCTAGGGATCATTTTTTAAATGTTACAAAATCAATTTCCATAATACAAGCAGAACAACTGGAAAAAAAAAAAGTAGAAAGCAGTTAGATACCTGGGTCAGTTCCCAAACCATCACTTAAATGACTGAGTTAACATGATATAGAACCTAATTGTCCATTATGATATTGTTTCTATAAAAAGTGTGTCCCAAGATTCATGTGCGCATAGGGCACAAAAGCGGTTTATAACCGTTAAGAGCTCATGACTGACATAAAGAAAGTAAATTAAAAACATAGAACCATAGTTGCTAATTTATTATTTCAAGTGTTATATTTATAATCTTGATTTCTAATTCAACATCTGAGATTCTAAAATAACCATCACTTGACGGAAAAGAGCATAAGTTAATCATAGGTGAAGACAGATCTTTAATGCATGAATTCTGTATCCTTAGCATAGTTGAGTTCAGAAGAAAGTGGTCTAGGAATTAGTGATTTGATCCATGTTTGCTGTGACTGAAACTCTCTCCTCAGGTTTTAAATTCTTACAAGGAATAATAAATTAAAAAAAATTATGTAGTTATTACTCTTGTTAAAAATTAAGTGATATTTATCATGACAAATATTACCTCAAGTGTGACTCTAGTTTCAGCATTGCAGTCATTGCTAAGGTGTAGAGGGAAAAGCTGGAGGGTTTGTGACTCTGCTTTCCACATAAGCAGTCCTGTGGGGGAAACTCTTGCTCCTTCAGGACCAGAGTCTAAGGTAAAATGGATGTCAGAGCTTTCTGGATTGAACGCCATGAACTAGTACACAAAGTTTTCCCCATAAAATGCCTGCAACGTGTCTTGTAGTGCTTGAATCACTGGGGGTTGGTTGTCTGTAACAAGGAAAACATTTACTTTTGTACCTGAGTAGAAAAGGAAAGAAGTGTGATGCGGAGAGCTCCCACTGACACTGGCATTTCATACAGTTTGAACTATGCTAAAATTTCTATTAGCTGCCTTCCCCAACCACCATCCGCTCCTCCTTTATTTTTTTTTTTTTTACATTTTGAATAAATTCAATTCCATTCTTTGAAATGTAAAAGTAACGGACAGGTGCAAGACTTCAAGCTTTGCTATGAGAAAACAAAAACATTTTGACTGTAACATAAAATAAATAAACACATTTTCATTGCCCAGGCTGGATGCAGCTCCTCTGTTATCTGAAATTACTTCTCAATGTTTGCCATCTCACTGCTGGCTCTCTCACTGTCTCTCCTTCACCATCTGTCCCTTTCATCCTCACTTCCACCCTCTAGTCCTTACTTTCTCTATTTATTTCTCCCTTACCATCCAAGACTGGATTGTTCATTTCTCTCCCCTAACCTTTCCTTGCTATATCTATCTCTCCAGTTATAATATTTGTGAATCAGTAACGATTCCAATCAAGAAGTATTGTGGATGGCACAAATGGTTAAGCGCTTGACTATGAGCCAAAAGGTTGGCGGTTCAAACCCACCCAGAGGCGCCTCAAAAGACAGGCCTAGTGATCTGCTTTGGAAAAATCACAGCCTTGAAAAGCCTACATAGCAGTTCTACTCTGCACAGATGGATCGCCGTGAGTCAGAATCGACGCAATGAAAACTAACAACATAGTCGTGCCAATCTTCTGTTCCTCAGAGATCCTTTTAGTGGCTGAGCTTACACATTTGTATGGTGGCTATTTCAGGGGACAGAGACAGGTCCTTTATGTTCATGAAGTGATTTAACAAATCTTTTTATACTGTCTTATATAAAAGACTTACTCACTGGCTTAGTAGATGGAAAGAACAGCCTCATTCTGTTACACTGGGTACAAAATTCTGCTTGCATCAAGGAAGCATTGATGCCAACAGACTTGCAGTTCTGTTTCTAGTTTTGCCCTGTATATCCTTACACAGCAGCTTAATTTATTGATAATTAGTTTCCTCATCCTCAATATGAAGGAATTGGAACAGGTAGTATTTTAAGATCCCTTGTATCTTTTGACACTGTGACTCTATGATGACTCAATCATGTATAGCCATGAAAAATATAAATGGACACGGATTCAGAAGTTATGTTCTACTTCCTTTGTCTCTTGCACTAAATTCATCCCCGTATTTCCATTGTTATCTCAAAATATTCCATGAGTCTTTATATTTAAGCAGTGAGTCATGTGGCAGATAGTCTAACGCAATAATGTCCAAACCCATATAATGATATCACAAAACACTGTGTAAATATAAGGTTTTATTACTCCATTAGATAAAATTACATGAGGTTGGGGAGTAATTGTAACTTATTGTATCTAATGATGCCTTTGCATTCCCACCGAGGGAAAAGAAATTGAGGGGCACACACATGGAGTCATATACAATTCTATTTGGGAAAGTGAAAATTATATGGTATATAACTAGAATTTGTGTATTGTTTGGGTAGAACAAAGTGTCTAGTAATTAACCATACCCAATATTATACTCAGAATCACAAAATGGTAGTGCTGTAAGGCATTTCATAGATTATCGAGTGCAGATATTTTATTGAACAAAAGATGAACCTCTAGCCTTGGGAGGTTAAATGGTCAAAAGCTTTGTCAAAAAGCTGAACAGTGGTAAGGCTAAGAATAGGATTTAGGCCCTTGCTTTCAAACTAATATTCTCTTTCCACTAAACACACTGATATTTGTTGATAGTTTTTTTTGTATAAAGTGTTTGACAGGCCATTTTGCTAGTAGGTATTTGGACTTGCACAAATTGTGTGTACCTAAATTATCCATTTCCATTTCTCCCATTAATAATTCACATTGGTTTTCCTTATCAAATATTAAAATAAAAATTCCATACCGTATGAAGTATAACAGAAATTATAAAAAGAAGTAATCTTATATTTTCTTCCAGCAAAGTCAATTATGCATTTAGGAGTGACGCTAAACTGAATACAGTGCTCATCCGTCTTAAACAAAATAATTTAAGTCATGGTTTAAAACTACTTTAAAAATATCTTGTATAGGAAATATACAGATTAATAAAGAATAACTTACTTTCTAAAAAAGACCAAGAGAATTTCAAAATGTTAGGTCTGCATATCGAACAAGGGCTGGTAGGATTCTTATCCCCTTCAACATAGCAGAGTCCATCAATAAAGCAAAATTTTTCCTAAGAGAATTAAAAAAAAAGAAAACACCAATGAACATACAACCATACTTGGTATGTAGGGGGGAAAAAAACTACATAAGAGGATAGTTGCATATATCTTAATGATTCCAATAAAATTGAATTATAAATCTGTTTTGATTAGGAAGTATTTTTTCATACCTCATAATCATAAATGCATGCTAGAAAACAAATTATTTCCCCTGTGTGTAAATGCCTATGAAGCCGATCAATCTGGAGGGAATAGAAAAAGTTGTATCCCTGTTCAGAATTACTGGACTTAAAATAACATGAAAGAAAACCTCCATTTTATTTCAGCTAAACTCATGCTGTAAATTATTTATTTATAAGGTAATAAAACTTTGTTTTTCCCCTGCACATCTTAAAGACTCACATGGGTTCATAGCTATCCTCACTTCTTCTAGCAGCCCACTGTACCCTGTAATCACAGCCAAGCTGGGTCAGAGCCATGGCATAATTATCCACACTTGCTAATGAATATCATTACACAAAACAGTTGAAAAGGAAGCTGACACACACAGAAATAATGCTTGTTAAATGTAGCAATCACTTTCAGTGTGGGAAAAGACCAAATTTTGTTCATGATGTATGAATATTGCTCATTTTACAATATTTCCTTTAACAACATCCAGAACATTGTACAAAACTAAGAACAAAATAGTCCCAAGAGAATAAAATAATCTTTAACAACATTTTAGAAGACTTATTGTAGGACATATAGAATGGAATATTTGGGAGAAAATAAAAATCAGGCAACTTTGGAAAAACAGAAACTTCTTATTCTGATGATCTGATTGCTATTCAAGAAAGTCAGAGTTAAAATTGAGAAAAAATACTTTCTGGTCCACATACATAAATATTATCTGATATGCTCCTCAGTTTTAAAGAGCCAAGTGATATGAAGTCAATCAAAAACCAAAACCAAATCCATTGCTGTTGAGTTGCTTCTAACTCATAGCGACCCTATAGGACTTCCAAGGCTGTAAATCATTATGGAAGCAGACTGCCACACCTTTCTCCCACGGATAGGCTGGTGGGTTCGAACCACCGACCTTTGGTTGGCAGCCAGAGAGCTTAACTGCTGCACCATCAGGGCTCCTTGTGAGATCAAGAATGTATGTTAAATCAGCAGATCATATGTAAGAAGCCTGTTGGCAAACCCATTAGTCTAGATATAGATTAAGAAAAGGGTATTACCATGAGGACTCAGCTCAGGCTGTCCCGTTCTTCTGTAATCCATTAAGTGGCACATATCTGCATGGTCCAACAAATTTAGTTTCAGGGAGGGGGGGACACTCCTCTTAAAAGCAGTAACTTTAATGAAGTCACTCCTGAGGTTCACCCTTCAGCCAAAGATTAGACAGGCCCATAAAACAAAATGAGACTAAAGGTGCACGCCAGCCCAGGGGTAAGGCCTAGAAGGCAGAAGGGGATACGAAGGCTGGTGATAGGGAACCCAAGGTCGAGAAGGGAGAGTGTTGACATGTCATAGGGTGGTAACCAATGTCACAGAATAATATATTTAAACTAATTGTTTAATGAGAAGCTAGTTTGTTCTATAAACCTTCATCTAAAGGACAATAATTTATAAAAAAAAAAGCACCAACCTTATGCATTTGACAAACTCTACCCAAATGTGTAAGGTCACCACAAAGAGGACTAGATATCCAAGAGGAGATATCTTACTGGAAAATTATTATTACTACTGGTAAAAGAATGTACGTAAGAGTGAAACAGTGAATAATTCAATCTGAATCTCCTCTTGATTTTTTAGGAATAAACAACCCACCACTTCAAAACATTAAAGGCAGAAATGCTCCCTTGCCATTGCGAGAAGACTTATGCAGAGTAATAGTTTCTAACAGAGAAAAGCTTTTCTGAAGATTATATATAGTTTTAAATTATATAAACTTGAGAAAAGTTTTTCTCTATTAGCATTTCTGATAAGCAACTGGAAAAACCACAAGTAATATGCCAGCAGCATGGGAAATGAAAATACTTATCATGTAAATGTGAAAATAAGTGAACAGGTGCATACCTTTATAGTACATGAGTCATTTTCATAGAGACCACAAACTTGACAAGCACCATCATATATGATAATTATTTTGGGATTACTGAATCTATAACCATCATTAGATACCTGTAAGATGTAGTTTTATAATAAGATAATTTGTTCTAAATGTAGCCTTATAAATTTATTATGAAATTTTAATTTATAAATATTCACTTGGTTTTTTGTATATAAACTATATACATATACACACACACGCACACACATACATACGTACATACATATATATATAGTTTTGTGGGGTTTTTTACCTTTGCTTCCAACTTCATGATTGGTGTCTCACCCATCAGATCCATGGTATCAGACTGCTGGCTATCAGTGGGCAGCTGACAATCAACAATTCTGCTGTTTTGAAAAACAGCATGGACATAACATGGGTTCTTGAAAGACCCATGCACTGCTGTTATACTGAAGGCATAACGAGTAAGCAACTAACCTCTGTTAAATTATGAAAATATTTTGCTTGTGAATTACCCATAATCAAATTATAAATATTAAAATACATGTCTGGTATAATAGAATGTATAATGAAAAAACAAAAGTCACATTGATACTAAGTTTTACTCAGAATAACGAAAGAGTTATGTATCTTGACATAAATTGCTTCTTCTGACTGAAGAATTTCTTAAGGGCTCAAATTAAAGAAGTTTACCAATATGGACCATATAGAATCAATCACTACATAATGACTTTTGACCTACCCAGAAGGTTGAAGAAACAGGGCTCTGATTTTTTTCTATTCATAAATATTTTGTGCGTATCTACTATGTGCAGGGTGTTTTCCAATGAAAAGAGATTACAAAGGAAAGGACAGACACATAAACGTAGTTTTATTATTGCTGTAACAGATTCAAATAAGGTGCAATGACTGAGAAAGAAGCCACCAAGTCTACCAGCAGAGTCAAGGTAAACTTCAAAATAAGATGATACTTCTATTCCTGAAAGCAAAAAAATGAGTTTGCCATTTGGACCCTTGGAGCAGAAATAGAGGGAGTGAGATTCCATATGACTGGAGAGAATAGCATGTGAAAAGACAAGGATGTATAAAGCAGCGTGGATTTTAATAGAGCAGAAGCCAGAGGTTCAAGTCTGCAATGGTCAAAGCTGGGACAATTTAACCAGTGAAATAAATATTGATAGTGCTGAATGGTAACTCTTGAAATAAAACATTCATTAGTCCATACTGATATAAATAAATAATCAAATAAATAGACTGGGGAGAAAGGGCAGATGCTGCCTTTTAATAGAATTCATAGATAGAAAGAGAGAGGGAGAGATAAGTAGATAGATAATGATAAAATTTCATATATATAGGAAATAATGGAAATAGAAAATCATCATTATTGAAATACCACAGTGATACTTCTTGCAGGCAAAAATTTTAGATGCATGCTAAAATTAGTGGGTAACAATAAGAGAAAAAATACATATTTTCATAATCTAGAAGGTGCCCCCATAGTAGATGCTTACTAGTTACAGACAGAAAGTACCTTTACAGCAGAGAAACACGAAGACACCATCTTAAGCAAGTGATTAAAATCTACATCATCAGTAATAAGATATATCAACACCATGTAGTACCTGAGAGGATGCTCTGAGAATGACACACCATCAGTTTGTGGTCCTTTGCCAAAAATTTATAACTTCATTTAATCACGAGAAAACATCAGGCAAACTCAAATTAAGGGACATTCTACAAACTGACTGGCCAGTACTCTTCAAAAGTTCCAAGTACTTGAAAGACAAACAAAATCTGAGGAAGTGTCATGGTTTGGAGGAGACTAAAGATACATGACAACCAAATGCAATATGAAATCCTGGACAGGATCCTGAGCCAGAAAAAGGACCATTAGTTGGACAATTGGCAAAATTTGAATCAGATCTGTAGATTAGTCAATAGTATTGTATCATGGTTAATTTCCTGGTTTTAATAATTATTTTATGAATACACAGAATGTTAATTTTAGGAGAAGCTGGATGAAGGATAATTGGCAACTTCCTGTATTATTTTTGCAACTTTTCTGCAAGTCTCAAATTATTCCAAAATAAAAATTTTTTAAATTACTCTTTCATGCTACAGCAATCATGACAGATTACGCATGATCTGATATCCAAGAAGCTAGATTTTTAAGAGAAGCCCAATCGGTACACAAAACTGGGGTGCAAACTAGAAAAGGAGGGAGAAATCCACTTATGTTGACTGGAAATGTAACAAGGTTACCAGCTTAGTGCGCAAGCGAATACTTAAGGTCTCATTCCAAACAAACCAGGTTCAAGACCTTATGTAGGCCCCATGCAGGTGAGGCTGAAGATTCTAAAACAATGCCAAATTAAACAGTGTTGACTCAAGGGATCAAAAGATAGAAGAGCCTTTAAAACTCAGCATTAAGTGAGTTTGAGGTTAAGAGAGACTGAGTTAACCTTCGGCGTAATATAAAATGAATACTAGATTCTAATCTTGGTTTTGTCAAGAGAATATATCTGTTTCTTTTTATAATGTGTGGCTCCATACCAAATTCGAACTCATAGCTATCCTAAAGGACAGAGTAGAACTGGCCCATAGGTTTCGAAGGTGTGGTTGGTAAATTCGAACTGCTGACCTTTTGGTTAGCAGTCAAGCTCTTTAATCACTTTGCCACCAGAGCTCCATAGTTACTTTTTATTTATAAGATGTTTGGAAGAGGGAAGTAGTATGATAAGAAATATCACAGCAAATAATGTATATGAAAGTAAGAACAAAATGTACCTTCTAAGCGAACATAAATCTATAAATTTCTCTTTTCGCAAATCACTTAATTGCAGCGCAATGTCATATGATTCATTCTGCCAATACCAATATAATGTGCACTCTCTTGGGTAATATTGGAGTGAATCAAATTGTATATATTACATTTTCTATTGTGTGCCTCATTATTTCATTGGGATTAAAATAGTTCATGGTTCATTTACAAAGGCTCTATCCTTAAAAATCTCTAAATAAGCATACTCCTTGTGAATAAATATTTGATAAAAATGTTTTCTTCCTGTAAAGTCTCAATCTCATAATCACATTTGGCTTCATTAATTCAGAGAAAAAAATAAGATAATGATTTGCTAATTTAAATTATCAGCTTACCCATGTAAATGTTTTCTAAATTCAAAGAGTTTTCCTTAAAACTCCACTTGAATAAAGAAAAGACAGATCATATGAATAATCATCAAATATAAGGCATAATTTAATACACCATTATTCAAACTGAGTGATCTTGGCTGTCTTTTGTGACTTCAAGAAAGAAAAAAACACTAATTTCTTTCTGCTTTGTAATTTTTCAGTATGGACTTCACATTAAGGGAAATAGATGAGATCGATAAATCTTTACATTTTTGGTTTGTAAAAGGAAAACATTCATAACTCTATAACCTAAAATTCATTGCTGGGTATCTTGGCTAACAAAGAACAATCTCTAGTCTTTTGTATTTTTGTTTTTTAAGAAATATAGAAGTTTACGTATCAGGCTTGATATTCTTTTAATTTCTTGCTGACTTAAAGTAGTGGATCAATACCTCAAAAATTATTTTAAAGACTTTAATAGAGTTAACTGATAGAGGAACTTTAAGGTTAAGCAACTTAATCGTTTTCCTGTTCAGGTCTCTGTCAAATCGTGTTCATCCTTTAGGATTATGTTGCTAATTGATAAACCAAATTAATCAAAGTTAAAATTAATTGAGATTATTTACAAAATTTGTTTATCAACTCCATAACTCACATACCTGCAGTTTAGCAACTTCACATTTAATTGAAGATGATTCTTTGAAACCTAGACCGAAAGCTCTCACCATCATACAATTATATTTTTGAATATCACAAAATTCAGCATTTTCAAGCTCTGTAATTTCAGGAGCTTTCTCTTTGGGGGAAAAAAGTGACAAAATAGAGCATTTTTTTAATTACAGGAAAAAACTAATTAATTTTAAGGCCTAAATTGAAAGCATATGCAAAATAATATTTTAAAGTATGCCCTAAATATTATTTACTACATTAATTAAATCATTAAATGTTAAGAGTAATTTGGTATTAAAAGAAGTGTTATCCCCTATTAAACCAATAAAAATAGCATACAGGCACTACCAGTGCCTAAATGAGGTTTCATTAATGTTTTAATAATATTTTGATATTGATAAAAGACAAGTATTAAGCAATTATTACTAGAATGGGCTACATTCTGGTTAATGCCATATAGTTGAGTTGTTGGAGAGATAATTTTGTAAAATAAATTTTTAAATTCCTAATTTAAATTTTAGAAAAAGTTTTCAAAATTTATGTTTGTTGTCATTCAAATGTTTTAGTGAAATTTTGTGCAAAGTTGAGCAGAAAAATGGGCTATAGCTGAGAGGGAAGCGGGGCCCAGATACATTTTTCAAGATGGGAAAAACAACAAAAAACATCTATTACTCACTTAACATTTCTTAATGAAACATATACAAGAACAAATAGCAAATAATAAAGATAAAATACTTCATTCATTTTCATTTATTCATCTATGATTTTTGATCACCTATTATGTAGCAGTCACTGCTGTGTTGCTGGAGAAACAGAACTGAGCAAACATACAAAATTCCCTGCTCTCATGGAATTTGCATTCTAGCGGGGAGAGAGACAATAATAAAAATAAACAAGTAAAACATATGACTTGTTAGATATGGATAATTATGGTGACTGGAAAGGCCTCACTGAGGTGACATATGACTACAGACTTGAAAAAGATAAGAGCTATAGGGATATTTGAGGGAACAGTGTTCCAGGTAGAGGGGCCAACATGCACAAAGGCCCTGAAGTAAAGAGAACCAGGTACTTTCCAGGAACAGCATGGAGGCCAAAGTGTCTGGAGTGGAGTAAGCGAGAGCAACAGTAGTAGGGGATGAGTTTAGAGATGTATTACATGCAAGATCACATTGTGCCTTCTAGGCTATTAAAAGGACTTCAGCTTGTACCATAAATAACATAAGTTTTTGGAAAGCTATTAACTTACTAATAAATAGATTTATCCTATATAATCTGAATAAACCCTATGATATTGAAGAAGAAAAAAAAGTTTCCATAATCAAATAGTGCGCACAATATCATAGTCTGAGAGTGGTTACTCACCATACACATCACTGCAATCATAGGAACTAAAGCCTGGGAAACATGCACATCCCCGTTCCATACACTGCCCATGGCCACTGCATAAACTGGGGCATTTTAATACTGGGAGAATGTCTTCAATCAACTTGCCATATTCTTCCGTGTTGTATTTTCCCTCTTCCAAAATCCTCTTTTCACATTCATTTTCTAAAAGGGCCACATCTGCTTCTGCCCAGCTAAGATCATCTTTTAACTGTACATCCTTAACACACATATCTATAACATTGTCTAATCTCTTGCCAAGAAAAGCAAGACAGTGTCTTCCTACGCTGGAGTTGGCTAGAGTCTGCTGACAGAGCTCCAAGGTGTTGTGTTTGGTGAGACCTGAGGGCGTGGGCCAGGAAAGGACAAACTTTTGTTGGACATCATCAGCATGGTCCTCAGGGAAAAAATAGCTAAACTCTTCTCGGTCAATTAGGCTGAGACTTTGGAAAGCAAACAAAGGAAGAAACTCATGAAAGTTTTGCTGCTTCCATCTATTTTGTGGGTTCCACCTCATTTCTTGGATGTGGCTTCCCTGGTCCTGTAAGTGGCTCCCATTGTCCAAAGCTGTTGTTGTATCTTGTGTTTCATTCCCAGGATTTGTTTGTAAATCGAAGTCCAGTTTGCTTAGGTTTACATGCTTATTTTCTGAAGGAAAGGAATGCAAATGATTTTCTTTTTCAGATATATGCTTGCTCATACCTCTGAAAGGGGCTTCTGAATTAATATATTCAGAGGTAGCATCTAGTTCTGGTATCAAAGAAGAGAATCTGACATGTTTGATATCTTTGCAACCAGAAACAATTCCTGATTGAGAAACATTGTCCGGAAAATTAGAAGACAGACGCAATGAAGCAGTGTCCGCTGAACAGCTACAATAGAATATTTTCCCAGGTGATGTCAGAGAAATCGGCATTATATCAAACATGCTTTTTCCTGGTAAAATTCTTCCAGGGGGAAAACAGAAAGGAAGAGTCATTTGGACAAGAACTTTTTTCTGAGTAATATGTTGCAAAAAAGCAGAGAATTAATTTGCCATCCATTTTAAGTCTTTAATATTAATACAATCACTAATTAAAAATAATTCACTTTCTTACCTCCGTTCATTAATAAAAGCAACAAAATTATTAAAATTTTGATCAATTTTGATCCCATTTTTATCATGGAAATCATTTTCTGGATTTCCATCAAAGGTGCCGCAAAGTCCCAACGTGTTTCTATAATCTGAACTAGGGGCCCTGACTGTTAAACTCATGCCCCATTCACTAAGATCAGCACGGATAAATGCTCCAGAAGTAAACCAAATCTGAAATACAGAAATAACCAACACAAAAGTAAAAGATGTTTCAACAATATTCAGTATAGGTTAATAAAATACTATTCTATTATTTAAGAAATAAGAAAGAGACCTATTTATTTCTTTGGTATAAAGAGAGAATAAAATAGTGATTTTCCTGGGCCTATAAATTTTCTTTTAAGACTCTGTGCCAAAATAATGGATGTCTGTATTTTGCTAGCTTGAAATCTAACCTCATTGTTCAACCTTCTATTGATTATATTGTTTACAACTCCATTCTTTAATTTTAACAAACGTGAGATATTTTATACAATTAAAACAGCTATAAGTCTAGAGGGTAATGTTTACCAAGTAATGTTTTTTATAATTATTTAATATAGAACTAGACTGTCCATATATACAGAAATATAATTCCAGAAAAGTCAATATCCCTGTGGCTAATCAGCATTCTCTTGCTGCCAATAGGCAAATAGAATCAGAAGTCAAATTATGACCAGAAAATTGCTTGGTAGATGTGGAAGCAGAGCAAAGGGAGCTTGTTGGATAATCCTAAAAGCCTCTGTCACCTAACATACGCCTCACCCACTACAGGAATATCATCTCCCCTCGGCCAGGGACTTGGATTGACCTATAGGGAAATTCTTTCTTCCAAAAACCACTGAAGATACACCGCCACCTGTGTTTGCACCCTAGACTCCTCTTTCTAATTTTTTCATTTAAAAATAGTGTTGTTGTTTTTTTTTACAAACATGCCAAGTGTTCATCATAGAAATTTATTTTTACAGCAAACAAGCAAACCTTACATTCCCACCCAACTTGAGGTAGCTATTGTTAAGATTGTGGTGCAAATCCTTCAAAAACCTCTCCTATGTTTCATGAATATCTTTGCCTGTCAATAAATACACATCTACTCCTTCATTTTAATGACCACAAAGTGTTTTGTTATGTGACCTATCATTATGCACAGGGTATTTGTTCAACACTTTTACTGATCACTCATTAATTATAACTTTTTCCTCTTACAAGAAGAGATGCATTGCACATATCTGGGTTTATACACATCCTTAATTATTTCTTACAATAAATTCCCAGAAGTAAAATTTCTTGGTAAAATAACATGCATAGGCACTCTCTCTCTGTCTCTCTCTCTATCTCTGTCTGTCTCTCTCTCTATATATATATATACACTGCATATTCCATAATGCACTCTGGAAAGACTAATGATTTCTACTCTTGCTAATATAGTATGAGAGATTTGTAACCCTGCACTGTCACCAAAACTGAGAATTATAAATGTTAGCCAGATTTTAGGTGGAAATACAATCATTGTTTTGATCTACATTAATTACTTATGACGTTGAATAATTTTCACTTTTTTTGTTATTTATATTTTTTGGACATTTGTCAGTTTTATTTCTTTTGTGATTTCACCATTTATATTATTTGCTCATTTTACTTGGAGTGCTGACTTATACATTAGTTATGTATAAGCATGTTTTCTATATTGATCATATGCTTTCTATGTAGCAAATATTTTCCCAATTTTTTATTTGCATTTTGGTTTTTGATCATGGACTTTTACAAAATATATATTTACATGTATAATGTTATCTTTAAAAATTCCTGTTCACCTCAATGTTATAAAAATATTCATCTCCACTTTCCTAGTACTTTCATTTAAATTTAAATTTTTTCACCTGGAATTTACATTTCTGGAAGATAACAGGGATACAAATAATTAGCTCACAGATATGAAATGCCATCTTTTAAAAATATTAATGAATATATTGTCTTTGGTCTATTTCTGGACTTCCTATTCTCTTCCACTTATCTATCAGTCTATTCCTGAAGCAGTACTATACTGTATTTATTTTAAATATTGGTTGGCTATTCTTGAGTATTTATTATTATGTTTCATTTCTGTCTAATATACCATTTATTAGACATGCTCAAAAGTAATTTTTATGAATAATACACCAAGCTGTCATATTGGAATCTTAAATAAGGCAGTTCAGCTTTTGACCACGTTTAACTACGTTGTGTCTATTTGTGTGGTAGGTGAAAAAAACATGTATCTTCTAAGATCAGAGTTAAGTCTAAATGCTATTTTCCTGAAAAACTGATACTGGAAAAGAATAGCTACTAATTTAATAGAGATGAATAGCCATTCAGATTTTAACTGTAGAGAAAAAGGAGAAATACTTTTAATAGTAAAGAATCATACATATCGTCACTTTTTTTCCTAAGTAAGCTTTACTTATCTTGAGATTGCTGGTTACATCTTGGCTCTTTACAAATAAATATGGCTGTGATTCATGTAGCTGGCCACTGCACATATCAAAAGTAACTACATGACCTGCTTCCTTGGCAACAAATCCACAGTTACATGACACAGGATAGTAAAGGCTTCTGCAGTCCCGTTGACATACGTGGACTTCAAAATCTCAAGACATACTCTTATAAAGCACAAATGTCCCAGTCTTGAAATTATCATAATCTTTATCATTAACAAAAGTCAATTGCATCAAGAATAGGTGTAAATATCACAATAGGTTAGCAACCGAAAATACTTATTATTAAATATATTTATAGGCATTTAAAATATTTTGATGGAAGAATGAAATATTTAAATTTCCAATAGCTTTATGTATTATGAGCATTTATTTGTATGGAAATGATTTAAAAAAGTAGTGATAAACACCTAAATCTCTCCCACTACTCTTTCCCTCCATTTCCTGGTCTCCTCGAGGAGGGCAGGCTTGCTGAATGCCTTTCCCCATGTGCGCATGGCTGTCTCCCTCACTTTACTTCAAGTCTTTGCCAAATGCCCAAATGGCTTTCTCTAACCACCCTATTTTAATATAACTTGCAACTCCAAATTCCAGCATTCCCTTTTCCACCTCTGCTTCAGTTTTCCTCATAGCATATATCTTCATCAGGTACACTATATATTTACTTATTAATTATCTTTATATCTCTTTTCACCTATTGAAAGTTAAGGTCAGAAAATGTCTGTCTGTTTTATTCACGGCCATACCCCAGCACTCAGAACATGGTGTATCACTTAGTTGTTGCACAATTGACCTTGTTTAACTGAATCGCATTAAATTAATCTCCACATCCCTAGGAGGAGCAAATGGTTAATGCTCTCAGTTGCTAACCAAGAAGTTGGAGCCTGGAGTCCACCAGAGGTACCTCAGAAGAAAGGTCTAGTGATATACTTCTGACATTTGCCACTGAAAACCTTCCGGAGCACTGTTCTACTCTGACATACATGGAGTTGCCAGAAGTCGGAATCAATTCAACACGGCAACTGGAAGTTTTATTTAATCAATTCTAATGTATTAGCTTAATCTTCTTGCCTAAACCTTAAAGCTTACTGTAACGTCATGTAGAAACAAAACGCAGTAAAGATCTCTGAAGCAAATAACCTAATCATTATCAAAAATGAATAAATGGTCAAGCAAAGGTGGTCATCTGCATTTGCAATAATCATGTTTTTTATAAATCCAGCCTCACAACTAGTCCATATTTTTACTAAGAAATAAATTTGAAGGCAAAAACTTCTATACAAATAAACTAGTATTTGGAAACAAGCCAGTGATAACCATACATGCCTTTACTTTGTGATTTTTCAGTGAATAGGTGTTTAACACAAAACAACAACCAAGACCAAAACAAAAACTACTAACAGAAAAAATTTTGAGAAAATTACCTGCCATCAAATGTAATTATATGAGGGTCAGTAAATGAATAGCAGTAAGCAGTTGGGACATCTTTTACTCTGATCTTAAAAGCAAAGAAATTTTCAGTAAATATTACTATTAATTATTATTTAGTGATAGACAATAAATAGTACAGCAATCTCAATATATTTTAATTATCATTTTACCAGTTATTGAAAATTGAATCATGTAAAAACGAGAGTAATTTTTATCAAATAATTTTAAAATATAAATTTTACAAGATATACTGATAAAATATATGTATCTTTTTGAAGCTTCATTTATTAAGATGTTTTTATAATTTGTCAACCTGGATGCTGTCTGGAATGTAGCTGTTCCAGAGGAAATCTTCACTGACTATAGGCTCCACCAAAATGTTTGTAACGCTATCTCCATCTTGAAAAAAATCTGTTACAGCAGTGTAGTACACAAAAGCACGGCTACAGGTTCCATTATCACAGGATGATGTCTGATGAAGGTCCACGTGACAGGAAGAAAGTGCCAAATTTAAGCCTAGCTGTTCTTTACCTATTTTAATAAAAAACTGCATTAAATTTTTTCCTAAGGAAATAAACTAACCAAAGCACGTAATAGCTGAATCAACAATCGAATACTGAATTGAGAGATTATTCTTAAATTATTTTCTCCTACTTAAAAAAATATGGTTGCAATTTTTGTCTAACTAAAATAAAAATTATTGAACTCTATGTGATCTTTGCAAATAATTAATCAACTTCAATGTATGCATATATACAGAAAATTGCCATTTTCTTTACGTTTATAAGTCCATATACAACTGCGTAAAATTCAAAAGTAAAAACAAAATGCATCCTGTTACTGTAAACAACAACAACAACAAAACACTAATTCTAGCACCAAGGAACATCATAATTTGATTTTTTTTCTGCCTAAGATTTTCCCTAGGCCCAGATATTTCCTAGGGTATGTATTTCTGTTTTATCCATTGTTGAATTATACCAATGTCATTTATTATTAATTAATAATTATTAATATAAACCAAACTAAACCTGTTGTCATCAAGTCGATTCCAACTCATAGCAACCCAATAGAACAGAGTAGAACTGACCATAGGCTTTCCGAGGAGCAGCTGGTGGATTCAAACCGCCATCCTTTTGGTTAGTAGCTGAGCTCTTAACCACTATGCCACCAAGGCGCCTTAAAACTAGAAAACTTAAAACAACTTCAGGTGATTCCGTACCAGTAATAAGTAATCTATCTTCTTTCACTTCCCAAATGTTCTAATATATTCAGAACCTCAGATCCTACCTCTCCCAGGGAAAAAAGAACAATAGAATAATTTGCTAAGAAAATGATAACAAAAGAGGAGGAGGGAACTCCATGTTTTTGTATAACTTCAAAAAGCTGGAGAAAGTAATTAAAGCTTAAACAAAAAGAACAGATCCCCCACCCCATGACTGCAAAATTGTCCCCAAAGGAAGTGTGTGTATGTGTGTATATTCTGCTATCACATCCAGTTAATCATTACAAAGTCCTTCTGAGAAACAAGGAAAAAGAAAAAAATCTTTAAAAGCTTTCTATCTCCTTCTCTCCCACACATCTTTTTCAGGTGTAAAATTATAGTGGTCAGTTATCAATTATACGTACACTATACTAGATTTAAAATTCCTGAAAAAATACGTTTTTTCTAAAAATATATACTTTTCTTATGCACATGAAAAATAACAGAAACCTCCACGCTATTAAGCAGCTCCTTAAGGTGAATATGGAATATATCTGGCCTCGAACTAGCCCCTGACATCGTTTCCTCTGTATATGGTATGAGGGCCAGTAATTCTTTTCTTTGAAACCTGTTCAAAAGTAACATAGTCTTTTAGAGATACACTAAAAGATACCAATTGGTTCTCTACTAAAGTAGAGACTTAAAGGCAATATACTTAAGGAACATGACATAAGGAATACCCAGAATGAAATCCAGAGATTTTTCTCCAGAAAAAAAAAAAATTCTTTTATTTGACCAAAAACAAGAACACGCAAATTCCCAAAATGTAGGAATATATTTAGGATGTTATATTATAGCAATCTTTGCATTGTTGAAAGAACTGAGACCATGTGATTCTATTTTAAGTACGTTTATAACTGACGGCCATCTCTGCCTCTCATGATTTTTACAAATATCAATAACATCTTCCTCTTCCCTATTTATCCTGTAAACTGTAGTGCATTATGCATAATATCCATTTTAGAGGTAGGTTAAGCAGAATGTGTCAAACAGTCTGAGAGAAAGGGTCTAATTTCATTTCAAAGTTGCTCATGATGCTGCTAAAATCTGAGCAAGTAGTTAGATTTTATCTTAGGCTGCTTACTGCCAAATATTTTAGGATTTAAAAAAAAAAAAAAAAAAAACCAAACCCATTGCCATAGAATCAATTCCAACTTATAGTGACCCTATAGGACAGAGTAGAACTGCCCCATTGGGTTTCCAAGGAACGGTTGGTAGATTCAAACTGCCAGCCTTCTGGTTAGCAGCCGAACTCCTAACCGCTGTGCCATCAGGGCTCCATATCTCAGGACAGCATATCTTAATTTCTCTTTCTATATCCTTATTCATCTCTTTTCCTGTTGCATAATTCCCAGGAGACTCTTCCTCTTTCCTAACATTTTTCATATTTTTGTTTCTCTGATTTAACTGGGTATAATATAGACACAAAGACCTTTAAACATTGTGTTTGAACTCGTGAAGAGTGTGCCTCTTAGTCAAGTAGATACAAGAGACCAAAGGGGCAGCTTCTGTCCAGAACTGAGCTGGGAAGGCAGAGAGAGTTAGGAGCTGGTTGAATGGTCATGGGGAATCAGGGGCGGAAAAAAGGAGTGTGCTGTCGCAGAATGGGGTGAGCAATTAGGGTCTCATAACAATGTATGTAAAAATTTTTGTATGGGAGACTAACTTGAAATGTAAACTTCATTTAATTACAACAATAAAAAAATAGAAAGGAAAAACATTCTGTTCGATTTATTTACTACTAAATAAAATTTTATGCCGTACGGTGAAAAGGTAGGTGAATAGAAACTTCATTTCCTTAAAGGTTATATTTTAATCAATGTATCTCTTATTTGGTTTGGTCTTTAAGTCAGAGGCTTAGGAGGGGGAAAAAAAAAACTCAATTAACACAATCACTGCCAAACACTGTTTGTCTTCTCATATTCTACCATGTTCTGTGTGAGGAGTTTAGTTCTATATGTCTGGGTCAGTGAAGTAAATGCGGCCATGCACATAACATCTATGTAATTATTAATTTAAATAGAAGAATTCTAAAATAAAAGATCCCAAACATAAGCTTGCATTAGGGAGACAAATGTGAAGAATGAATTATAAGATTCATGTTGCATACACTGAAAATTTTAATATACTTATTATACTGCCCTTAGTGAGAATGATTTGGAAATTCTGGAGGAGTAGTTTGTGCCTCAATCTATGAAAACAAAAAAGAGAAGAATAAGGAGGAGGAAAAGGGGGAGAAGCTGGGGAGGGAGAAAGAGGAGGGTGTTCACGGAATTATTGTTGTTGTGTGTCATTGAATCAATTCCAGCTCATAGGGTTTTCTAGACTGTAATCTTTATGGGGGAGCCCTGATGGTGCAGTAGTTAAGAGCTTGGCTGCCAATCAAAAGGTGGGCAGTTTGAATCCACCAGCTGCTCTTTGGAAACCCTATGGGACAGTTCTACTCTGTCCTATAGGATCACTATGAGTTGGAACTGTCTCGATGGCAACGGGTTTAATCTTTATGGGTGCAGATCACCAGGTTTTCTCCCGCAGAGCAACTAGTGAATTTGAACCACTGACCTTTCGGTTAATGACTGAGTGCTTAACATTTGTACCACCAGGGCTCCTTTGAATTATTATTATTTTTTATTTATACATTGAACCCAGGATGGATAAATGTGAATTGCTTTGACAATCATAAATTTAGCACAATAGTATTAATATGATTCAGCTATAATTTGATATAAACACGCAACAGAATTAATTATATATGTATATTCCAGTGACATTTTCTAGAGGGAAAAGAGCTTTCGTTTTTATTTTAGATCTAATCGTACAATTAAATGAATTTAGTATATTACCTTGATCTACAGTTTTCAGTTTTAGTGAGATTTTGCAGTCCTGATCGAGTTCACCAAATTCAGAACAAACGATAGGAAGTGTGCTCTCCATCCTCAATTGGTATTCTTTCCCATCTTCTGCTATAGTGCTCAGTTCAGGCTGCAACTAGTATAAGAAACTATGTAGAGCAATCAGGTTAAAATATAACTAATTTTTAGGTATAATTATTTTGAAAGGGAATTTTTTCAACAATTCATCTTTTGTTAAACGAGTTGTTGGTAATCACTTAAACACTGGAATTTTTTAATTAAACAAGACAAATTAAAAATCAAACCTATAGAAATATGAGCAATGCACAGAGTACATGGAGCGGCTGCTCTGCTCTGAGTTTCGACCCAACTTGGTTCCCTAACACACGCTGGGGTAGTCTCATCGGAGCCTGCTTTAGTGGTTCTGGTTCCATGGTGGGCAGTGGACAAAGGAGGAGACAGACAGATTCTTTAATTCTTTCATTTGTTGTGCTAAAGTTTACCGACTCACACCACAAGAGTCTGTTTATTCTTAGGGATTAGTACATATGGTGGCCCTGAGTCCAGAACTGACTCCACGGCACCTAACAACAGTACTCATCAACTCAATTAGAAATTGAAGTATTTTTTGGATTATAAATCAATTTATTGTTGTCACCTGAAATATCTCAACCTTCAGCTTATTTCCTAGCCTCTGTTTTCCACAGGTGGGTTTACCAAGTACTGCGCCCTAGGACAGACACTATCCCAGTTCACAGGCCAATCCTAATTCAAGGCAGGAAGTTTTTATGCATTCTCGGTTCCGAGCTGGCCTTCAATACAGCTGTTTTAGAACTGAGTATTCTCTTCCTCTTAGCAGGGACAGATGAACCGGTAAACACAGTAGCACTGGCTTGCATTGAGCAAGGTACGCTTGGGCTTAATTGTATTTACTTGCTAATCTTTGGTGAGCGATTTCACATGAGTTTCACCACATCTTTGACGTGGTGGGGGACAGGTGAAATTGTGCACTGCAGATTGATGGGAAGGCATAATTGGACCACTGTGTACCTTGCTTATTGGGTAATACAGCCCAGTCTTTCAGCACACAGAAATACTAAGTACCTGGTGGTTCACTATTGGCCCTGGCATAGTTTGCTAACCAAGCGCTTACCAACGTAGGTCAAAGGGTTCCTGTGTTCTCAAGGTCTGAGCTCAGCTTCCCCACATCCCCACTGTGGCTACACTATTCTGACAATGTAGTCCACTTTTCTCACTCCTTTCCCTGGTCCCTACTGTGTAGACATGAACTTGACCCAGAAACAGGTTTTGTTCTATTCTCAAATCACAGCCTTGCAATCTATCCAATATCCCATCTTGTCCTTGGGTAAGGGATGAGTCAGGACAAACTGGTCATGTGGCTGAGAATTCTCAGGGCACAGTCCCTGCCTGCCTGGACCTCTTAGTACTGCCCCACTCCTTCCATCACTCCTGGATTCCCTGTCATCTCTACTCATCCATTGGAACAGCTCATCAGTTCTCGGATTTCTGGTGTTTTGTTTAGTTAGCTTAATCTCTGCAGTCCTTACAGCCCATCCCTCTGTGTCAATTTTACCCTAGTGAGAGGCTCTAGTACACGGCTTGGTACTTGTTTTCCCAAATGTGCAACAAATATATATTAATACTCTAACTTTCAGTTGCATGACAGAACGAATTATAGGAATAGAGCTTTTGTATGCTTCTAATTCAAGATATTTCTGAAATAATCCAAGTATATTTCAACTTTAGTTTATTAACACGGGCATTCAGACTTTGTGTGCCTTAAGGTTATCTGGGTTATACTTTTTTCTTATCTAAATGCCTTTATTTGAACTAATACATTGCTACCCGATTACATCACTTTTCAGAGTTAGAGTAACATTATGATCTTGAAAACTATAGCAAAAAGCTTGACAGAGGAAGAGTACATTAAGTTCTACATATATACTTTTATTTTTTAGTGACCACATCTCCTTGTTTTAGGTGTAAAATTACAAAAACTTTGTACACTTAGCATACTTGGCCTACTGCATCCTGGCTAACTTCTGAGTACTCTCTTTCCTGAAAAGTGCCATATTCAACAGCATTTTAAATTTAAAGAGAGAGCTTGATAATACAGGTTTAACAAAAAGAAGCATGTATTGAACCAAGTATTTTAAGACAAAATATACCAATTGTTTACAGCTTAGGTGGTGGGAAGATGCAAATTTAAGGTACATTTTTCCTCTACCTAAAATGTGTTTTTTATTTTACTTACTTGAAGACCCCTTAAAAAAAGTAGCAAAATCAGCAGTCTTGTTTAATGTAATCAAAATATTCTTAAATGTATAAAAAAGGATCATGTAGAAAGAATACTGTAAAAAGATACTGATTTTTAAGAATAAAAGAATATGAAAAGCTTCTATTACATCCTGCGCAGCCAGTTACTTCTGCAAATTTCCAGTACTATAAAGATAAGCAAAGGATACTCATATCCAAATACCCTCTGACCAGAGTTCTCCAATAAGAACTAGCACACTGGATGGAAAGGAAAATTCCTATCTAAAATATTCATATCCAATCATCTAAGCAAGTCTCAAGAGGTGGACACTCTAAGAGGGAAAAAGATACATAGAGAGAAATAACATACAGCAACAGGAAATGTCAATGGCAGCAATCTAGGAGGAGAGAGTAAAATGGTTTGGCTATGAGCACATTTCAGGTGTGCCTGACAAATCCAATGCTGACTATGGGAAAGAACACTTGTTTTTATTGAAACTCTTTCCCCTGAGGGATTTGATGATCTTGTCTTGTTAATCAAAACTACAAAGTCCTTTAAATGACCAACATTCTTAAGCCATGGGCACTTCAACTTGGAAATAGCTGACCTGCTAATCATGCACCTGGGAGCAAGGTTGTTTTTATTCAGATCGGTTATTCTACACTCTCTTCATTCCCCTGCCCTTCAAGCATGCAAACACGGTCATGACCATTTTGGGCTTTACTACCACAAGATCTTCCGGGAGAGCGTCCACTCTGGCTCCAATTCTTCTAGCCATTGACACGGCATACTTGACATTATTGTGCTTGTCATCTTCTGTTAGATTGCCACTCTTAACGAGGTCATAGTTAATACAACCTGGCTGGATGGCATCAATGAAATCTACAACTGCCAAACTGGAGCTGATCGTCTTGTCCTTAAATCTCTGAATGGAAGTTGATTTTCCAGCTTCCCTCAATGTTCTGTTCACCCAGTTTACAATGATGTCGTCGTTAGCTTTTTGACCCTCTCCAAGACCTTCCAGGACATTGAGGGTATATCTTCTCATCAGCTGCCAAACTAAAGCTAAAGTCAGGGTTTGGTTTCCATCATTCAAGTCTTGCCCTCCAATGCCAACCAGTGAGAATTTGGCAGGACGCTTCCCTAATTCAACAGCATAGTTGCAGTTTTCTAGCTTTTTCATGTTGGCTCCAAGTTTCAGGTATGGAGGTTTATTAACTTTACTCCAGTCAACAGGAACTTTAATTCATTCATACAACTGTAAGATTACCAGGGCATTTTGCAGGTCAGCATAGAGATGGTTTACATGGGGATTAACACCCAGAGAGTTCATCCAGTTACGGAAGGTTCTTTCTTCACGAGTTTCACCTTCTAATAGAGTCCAGTCAATATCCTGGTTCTCTGGCTTAGTTAGTGCCAGGTATTTATTAAACAGGTTAGCCACAAAGGCCAAGTTCAGTTTGGGATTTCCACTGACAACGTCAGCAGGGGTAACAAACTGTCTGCGACCTAATTTGTCTGCTTGTTGAAGCATACTCTCAGCTCTCTTCAAATCATCTGTTTCGTTGAAACCTGACATGTTAATACCTACTGTGGTTCACCTTCCTTTTGTCCTTTTCATGCAATTTGATTGAGAAGATGGAAATAGGCTTTGGAATTCTTGATGTCCGCACTGAAGTTGTTGATTTTTTGCCAGCCTGAGTTTTCCAAATGAAAGTTTGCCCATCGAAGCAGAAGCTCTTCCGGAGACAATTTCATAAGCTCCTCCAAAGTCTCACCATCTCGAAGTAAAGCAGCCAAGGCTTCATTCCTGCTTAATTCAATATCAGTGAACAAACCGATCTTAATGATCTGCCAAAGCAGCCCCAAAACCAGATGAGGTTTCCCAGCCCGCAAATCCTCTGCACTAATGTTCACAACGTGACGCCCAATGGCAGAAGCAGAGTTCAGTGCCAAGTTCAAGTTTTCCTGAATGATAAAGGGTGTGAATTTCTTCTTGTTGATTGCTCTTTCATCAATCATATCAGGAACAGAAAGGTTAATCATTTTACAGAGAACAATTCCATCACCAACAGCTTTGAACAGATCATCGGTATTTAGGTTCATTGGTATAACATGCCTACAATCAGGATCATTTTCCAAAGCTTTGTTTATCCAGTTAAGGAAAGCATATTTTTCTTCCTCTGAACAACTTCACTGGACAACTCTGAAGTTCCTCCCAGAGCACAAATCCCTTCCTTCCTGTTGATCGCTTTACAGAAGGTTTTGGCAATATCACTGCTTTTTACCTTTTATATCCCGGTAATGGCATATTAGCCTCCTTGAAAAGTTCATAAAGTTCATGGTCACGCATGAATCCATTGCTGTTGAGATCAAGTTTTGCAAAGGCCTCTTTGAGTTCATCAAGCTCATCTTTGGAAATCTGAGTGGCAGCCATCTCATCCATTTAAGGAAGATAATGTGAAGCCTCTTCAACTTCTCTGAGTCTCAATTTCTTCCCTTGTAAAACAAGTCTAGCACTTTTCCCTGTGGCCTCTTGCATAGTCACCATTCATCTGTCAGTGGAGGCTTGTGTGCTGCTATGATGCTGAACAGGTTTCAGCAGAGCTTCCAGACTAAGATGGACTAGGAAGAAAGGCTTGGTCATCTCCTTGTAAAGTCGCAGAGTCCAGGTCCGGCCCCACTGCCTCAGACCAACGCACTCACACAACTTCTGCCCCCCTGGGTTATACTTTAAAAATAAACTCCTGGGTCTCAACATTTTGATTCCATCTATAATGTGGTCTAACAACCAGCATCATACGTATATCACAGTTTGGAAAACAAAGCCACAAAGGAAAAATCTTTCTGATCCATCCCCATTGCTACATACCTTAATTCCCACAAAAATTTCTTGGCTTTCGATGGCTAAACTTTGTACATATGGTTTCTCCAAGAAAAAGATGGAAGCACTACAGAATATCTATGAATACAGTTAACAAATAATCAGTTAGCAAGAAAATAATGGAGGAAATGTGTGCAAATTATCTTTAAATACTTAATTTCAATTCTTGCTGCATTAGACAATAGAACATACTAAAATAATTCTAAAACTTGCTTAAAAACCAAGAAAAATTGCATCATTATAAAGTATTACTTATTCAAACCTCAAATTAAAATGTAGTAGGCTTTGCATTAGAGGGGCAACAAAAAAGATGAAGACCCTAATGAGATGGATTGACACAGTGGCTGCAACAACATGCTCAAGTATAACAACGATTGTGAGGATGGCGCAGGACCTGGTAGTGTTTCATTCTGTTGTACACAGGGTTGCTATGAGTCGGAACCAACTCGATGACACCCTAACACCAATAACAACAACAGGCTTTATATTTAAAGTGTATTTAAAAAGAGATAAAAAGTAATATCATCACTGAAAAAAATTTAACACATTTTTGTAGAATAAAAATACATCATTTTAAAACCATAAAAACACATAGAGTTATAAGGATTCATCAATAATAATCAGTGAACTGCTAAAAACAGATACTCTTGGGTAGTTATGAAGATTTCTAATTTACCCAATTATCACTGGAATTAGCACAATTGCCAAGGAAAAAAGAAAAAGAAAAATATTAGTGTTTTATATTCTGGGTAGAAAAACTATACTTAGGATATAAAAAAATCCATTTGTGAAAAGCAATACATTTATGAGAAGAAAAGAAAATCAAATTGTTTTTAAACATACCCTGTCTCCAAGTCTGAGATTTATGCCGTCAAGTTCTAAAAGAGAGAATGCCTGAACTGTGGTCTCTTGTTTCAGCTCCTCATCGAATTATTGAGAGGAAAGTCTAGACCAGGTTATGAGAAATCCCACAGAGTTGTTTGTAGGGCAAACATCAAAGGCACACCTACAGAAAAGTCTGGACTCAAACAATTCCACCACAATCTCTGGCCTTCCTGGAGGTGGTGGTAGCAATGAGGCAGACAGCTGACCTGGTGGGAGAAAAGGTATAATTTTTAGCTGAGCATCTTTCAATACAGGACATAGAAAAGCAACTCAGAATGATTTATTTTAAGAATTATTATAGTAAGACTGTTTCTTAATATTTGAAATAACATTTACAAATTAAACAAAGACAGAAAAGTAGGAATACAGATTAAAAAGAGGAGAAAAATCACAACCACTATTAATATTTTAGGTGTTTCTTTTTCAAGACTTATTTGGTACCAATGAAACCATTTCGAGAAAACAAAAATGCGATTATACTGTATAATCTGATATCTAAGCTACAACATACCATGAATATTGACTAATGACAAAGAATGTTTTCCTACATTTTAATGATGTTTACAGAGTATTTTGTCATTATGGATACATCTTAAGTATTGAACCAATCACCATTTATTGTATATTTAGTGTTTCTTATTTTCATATTATTAAGAAATGTTGCTATAAATAGTGTGCTTGTGCATTCCTTAAGTATTCCTTTAAGATAATAGAATTGCTACATACAAAGATATGTACATTTTTAAGGATGTTGAGATAAACTGCCAAACTTATCGTTATATTACCTGTCTTTAGGGGTTGAAGCTGTGGAAATTATTAGTTTTTTAGAATATTATTAAAAACACAAAATGTGATAGGTACGAACACAGTCACCTCCAATTTCATCAGGGCCACATTGTTGTAATTTTGTATCAGAAATAGCTGCAAAAGGTTAAAATTCGTATAATTATTCCAAGTGGGCATAAAGAAAAGTATAAATCTGGGTATATCCAAGTAGAATTCTCGCCTTCCATATAGGAGACTCAGATACAATTCCCAGAGGCTTGCATATTGCTGTGATGCTATACAGGGTTCAATGGCCTTCCAATCCTATTGTGCATGGGCTCACCATCAATCAGGTGCTGATTTGGCAGCAGCTAACAACATTTCCTCACGATTAGACTTGAGTTATATTTTGTAGGAAAGTTGTTGTTGTTGTTGTGTGACGTCAAGTTGATTCCTACTCATAGTGACCCTACAGGACAGAGTAGAACTGCCTCATAGCGTTTCCTAGGCTGTAATCTTTACGGGAGCAGATTGCCAGGTCTTTTCTTCCATGCAGCTTCTTCCATGGAGCTGCTGCTGTGTTTGACCTTTTGGTTAGCAGATGAGCGCTTAACCATTGTGCCGCCAGGGCTCCTACCACAGAGGTGAAGTGCCCTTTTTTATTTCATGTTATCAGGAGTACATTATATCAACATGCATTGTTGCTGATGGTGTTAACCTTGATCACTTGATTAAGGTAGTGTCGCCAGGTTTCTCCACTGTGAAGTCACTATCTTTTTCCTGTCTACATCCTACTCTTTAGAAGTGAGTCACTAAGTCCAGTCCACAGTCAAAAGGCAAGAAGTTAAGCTCCACCTTCTACTTGGGGTAGTACCTACATATATTATTATAATTCTTTAAGGAAGGTTCATCTCCTTTCCCTCATTTATTTATACTGTCAATCACGTATTTATATGAGTAAAACTCAAGGATACTTATTTTATTCTTTGGGTTATAGCCTGTTAATTTTTATATGAGTATTCTTCGAGGTCATCCACTAGAATGTAAGTTCCATGAGAGCAGATATCCCATCTGTCTTGTTCACTACTATAACTCCAGGCCTAAAATAATTCCTGGCATAGGATAAGCATTCAATAAAGATAGATATTTGGAAAATTAAATTAAATGAGTATTTTTTACAATAACCTTTACTCACCACCCTTCATCCCTTAATTCAAAAGATATAAACAGGAATAAGGAAAGCAGAATAATTTTTAAGTGAGAAAATGAAAACAAGTCTGCTTTGATTCTTTCACACCAACACTTATTTTTGAGAATTTTAACATTTTGATAAAGAATCCTAAACAAATATTCTGGCCAATTTAAGCCCTAAATATAGCTTTTCTCTAGCAAAAATGGAAGAGTAAGTCTCTTAGTGAGATCTGAATTAGCTCAATACCATTTATCCAGAATATGGCACACATGACACACATAGTTCCATAATTAGTAGTTTATGTACATTATTAATGTTTTCTTACCTTCTGCACAATATCCCATACATCCCTGAGTGGGCTGCAGTAAATACACAAAAAATTTTCCACAGTATCTTACAGACACAGGGATTTGAAAAAGACAGCAGTCTTTTGTAGTGGTAAACAGAAACTTCCATGTGGCACGAACTGTCAGGTGCTTGATCTCCCCAGGAGAAGGCAGTGTTTCTGAATCTCTCAGAGACAACCAGATGGGCATCTGTGTTCCACAGTGGTTCGTCTTTTGCATCAGAAGATAAAAAAATTGAAAATCCAATTTATTTTCAGGCATGATAGACATATCAGCTTTGCATTTTTGCCTAAACAACCCTAAAAAATATTAAATTATCCATCTAATAATTTGAATTTGTACTATATAAGAAAAGTAACTTTAAGGCATATTCAATTTAAGAGTAGATTTCTTGTAATTAATGTAATTTTATTACATTATAAATATGTTTATTCCATTTGTATCATTATTATTGTAAACAAGGGACGTTATCTGATAATCTACTAAAATTGCTGACACATTCAAATCTGAAGCTGTCTGCACAAAGACATACTGATTTTGGAAACTTCTTGAAAAACTGATGGAAATGGTACATACAAGAAGTTAATATATCGTTTAGGAGGCATAACAAATCATGGGAGAAGGAAAGGATTGCTCAGAATCTGGTGATGGAGCAATTGATTAGAGATCTGGAAAAAAAATCAAGTTAAAGCTTTACCAAATCATTTCCGGATGGAAAATAAAATTAAATAGAAAAGTAAACCAGAGTAAATGAGAAGCAACACTGGGCTTTGGACAGAAGTGAGCCACTTAGTACTGCACGATCTTGGGCATACACTCGACATCCTTCTCTTTGAGGCATTTTGAAAGAAAATGTATTAGTCAACGCTCTTTGAGTGAAAGAAGGCATTCAGGCTAGTTCAGCTAAACTGCTATGAATCTGCTATGATGAGACTCAGAATATGGTGTAGTTAAGAGCGTGAGCTCTGTGTAAACTAAATTTCAGAAAAATACATCTTGTGTGATTTCATTTATAGAAGTTCATAAATAGACAAAATTAAACATAATGTGTTTTTTGAAAGTCCCAGGCTTGTGTTCACAGCTGTAAAGAAAAGCAAGGATATGTTGAGAATGTTGGCTGCACACAGTGTAGGTTTAAGAGGGAGGTTTCACTGGGATGAGTATTAAATTTGCTCTTGGTGCACTGCCTTTAGCTTGGGGACAACGAACTACTTTGAAATTTCACTGCCAGGCTGAGTTCTTTAGTCTTGGAACAGGAGGTGCTGGTCTCTAGGTTTCAAGCCATCAGAGCCCACAGTTAACAAAGGCAGCGCCAGACAGCAACCAACAGAACTTAAGTACTTGAAAAAATATGGTATCTTACTGCTTGCAGGTTTACCCACTGCCCACTGCCATCGAGTCGATCCCGACTCATAGCGACACTGTAGGACAGAGTAGAACCACCCCATAGGGTTTCCAAGGCTGTACTCTTTACCAAAGCAGACTGGCACATCATTCTCTCACAGAACAGTTGGTGGGTTCAAACTGCAGACTGTTCAGTTAGCAGCCAAGCACTTTACCACTGCGCCACTAGGGCTCCTAGCTTGTAGGTTACTTGTGGTTAATCACATGAACTCTGAAGAATGACTGCTGTGTTCAATACTCAGCTCTTTCACCAGCTAGCTGGGTGACCCTAGAGCAGTTACACTTAACAATATATGTTTTCTGTATTATGAGATGGAAATAATAATGATACTCCTTATCTAGAGCTGTTGTGAAGATTACATAAAATACTCTGGCTAAAAACAGTTAGTGGATTGCATGGTATATAACATTAACTATTACTGTTATTATTAGATTGAGAAAATGGGAACACTCCTTTAAATTAATTCAATCTTAATACAAAATTAAAATAATATTTTGGTGTGAAAATAAACGGGTTGTAAGAAAGTTCAATCCTGATATTAAAAAAAAATACATAAGAAATAACTCATGAAGCTCTCAGTGAGTTGAAATACCTCAACACATTTAGTTGGCATCTCAGCAGGTCTGTCAAAGATGAGAAAACGATACCATCCAGGGGAGAGGGAATGGTCACATATCAGCTTTTGAACAGCTGACTGTTGGTGGTGCACTGTATCAAAATGGACACTTCTATAAGGGCTCTGAAGAATCTGGTATCCCCCCGGAGAACACTCCTGAGCTAGGATACAAAATAGGTATCTTTACATATGTGTTTTCATAGTTAACATATTCCAGTTCTCATTGAAAATGTAATTCCACAACAAAAGGCAAATAAATACACAACATAAAGATCATCAGGGCCTCTCAGTAAGTCAAAAGTGACTTAACTTGCACTTGCCATAAATACTATTAACTATCTTTTTCTGAAATATTTAAGCTCCAAGAACTCTTTTGCATTAGTTCTTGACACTCAAGAGCACTCTAATTGTTCTTGATTTTGTCGTTGTTATTAGCACTGAGTAGACCCCTCAACTCATGGCAACCCTATGTACAACAAAACATAACACTATCCAGTCCCGTTACATCCCCATGATTGGTTGTAGATCGGACCATTGTGATCTATAGGGTTTTCACTGGCATATTTTCAGAAGTAGATCACTAGGCCTTTCTTCCTAGTCTGTCTTAGTTTAGAAGCTTCACTGAGACCTGTTCAGCATCATAGCAACACCTAAGCTTCCAATGACAGCCAGGTGGTGGCTATGTATGAGGTGCATTTGCTGGGAATCAAACCCAGGTGTCCGACATGGAAGGTGAGAATTCTACCACTGAACCACCAATGCAAAGGAAAAAGTATTTAAAACCAGTTGCCCTCAAGTCAATTTTGACTCATGGTGACCCCATGCGTGTCAGAGTAGAACTGTGCTCCATACAGTTTTTAGTGGCTACTTTTTCAGAAGTAGAGCAACAGGCCTTTATTCTGAGGTGTCTCTGGGTGGACTTGGTTAGCAGTGGAGCTCATTAACTGTTTGCACTACCCAGGGACTCCAAATGCCATTAGAGAATTGCAAATCAAAATAATGATGAGATATCACTACGTACATATTACACTGACTAAAATCCAAAACACTGACAACACCAAATGCTGGTGAGGATGTGGAGCAACAGGAACTCTCATTCATTGCTGGTGGGAATGAAAAATGGTACAGTCACTTTGGAAGACAATCTGGCAGGTTCTTACAAAGCTAAACGTAGGCTTACCATACAAGCCAGTAGTTGTGCTCCGAGGTATTTACCCAAATGAGATGAAAATATATATTCACATAAAGACCTGCATTCAAATGTTTATATTGTTTTTGTTCTGGGCTGGCGAGTCGATTCCAACTCATAGTGACCCTATAGGACAGAGTAGAACTGCCCCATACGGATTCCAAGGAGTGGCTGGTGGATTCGAACTGCTGACCTTTTGGTTAGCAGCCAGAGCCTTAACCACTTTGCCACTAGAGCTCCCAAATACTTATAGAAGCTTTGTTGTTAATTGTCAAAAATTGAAAGCAACCATAATGCCCTTCAATAGGTGAATGGATAAACAAATTGTGGTACAACCATACAGTAGAGTATTATTCAGTGATAAAAAATAAATGAGCTACCAAACCATGAAAAGACATGGAGGAATCCTAACAGTGTATTATTAAGTGAAAAAAGAAAAATCAGTCTGGAAAAGCTACATACTGTATGATTCCAACTGCATGATATTTTGGAAAATGCAAAATATACACACAATGAAAAGATCAGTGGTTACTAGGGATTCAGAGGGAGGGATGAATAAATGGAGCACATTTCCACTGGCCTTTTTAGGGCAGCAGAAATAGTCTGTATGAAAGTGTATTGGTGGACACATGATGTCATGCATTTGTCAAAGCTCATAGGAATACAAAACACAAATTATGAACACCAATGTAGATTATGGACTTCAGTTAATAATAATATGTCAATAGTGGTTCCTCAATTGTAACAAATGTGCCACAGGGATACAAGATATTAATAATAGGGGAAACAGTGTGCAGGAGGAAGGGAATATATGGGAACTCTCATGCAGCAACATGAGTGAGCCTTGAAAACATGCTAAGTGAAAGAGGCCAGTCACAAAAGACCACCTATTTTATGATTCCTTTTATAATAAATATCCAGGATAGGCAAATCTGTAGAGATAGAAAGTAGATTAATGGTGGTCTAAGGCTGTGGGGAGGGAAGAGGGAAATGGGAGTACGATAGTTAAGGATACAGGTTTATTTTTCAAGTAATGAAAATGTTGTAAAATTGACTGTAGAGTAGCATGGATATATGTCGCACATATCTGTGAATATTCTAAAAGCCACTGAATTGTATAGATTAAATGGATGAATCATATGGGATGTGAACTATCTCAATAAATGTGCTTTAAAAAAAATGCTGACTAAATGTGTTTTCACTCACCTCCCCTTGTATTTTTACTCTATAAACCATAAAGAAGTTATTAACTTTATCACGATAGGATGTTAGAACCTGGTAAGGGACAACGTTTGCCTTAAGTAAAGAGATTATAAGGCGATTATATAGGGGCAAAAAGGGGGAGGGGGTGTTATGTAATCTATACTAAACATTGAAGTGTCTCCCTTTATAAATATTGGTCATTTTTTCCTGGTAACATTTTGTCTAACTATAGTATGTATTTCATATGTTATACACATGTATGTTTTTAAAGCTCTTCATGAAGGCCCATTAAATCTGCAAGCAAAAAAGGAAGGCAGGGATCATTCATATCATGTTAAGTTGTATTGTTTCAGGAAATGACCCAAAAAATTGGGTTTTAATATTTAGCAAATTGTAGGCCAGGGAATACTTGCTCCCAGTTTTTAGAAAGCAAAACTTACCTTAGTAAAACAGATTAAGGTCAACAAAGTGTTCAAAGAACAAAATCATATCCTAAATAGTTATAAATTTTGCACACATTTTTTTTTCCCAAGATGCAGATAGTTGTACACACGACAGGAAACTTGGAAGATAAGAACAAGTCACCTTTCATTTAGTATTCCTAGTTGAACACAAGTAGGAAGGGCTAACAAAACTACTTTGTTTTATTTTTTTAACTTCACTGTATTTTAAACTATGTTTTCTTCGTCAAGGATTAAAGAAGTTGAGAGAGGGCTATTCTCTCAATAGAGATCTCTTTTACAGTAGCAAAACCTATTCTAACAGATATACAAAAAAACTTCATACACAAAATACTGATTATGTATTGTAGAGATAAAATGTTCCCGAATTAATAATTTCTACAGGGCAGAGGGTAGAAATAGTACAGTTTGGAATTTGGAAAATTCGAATCCACTTGTCAGTAGGATCCCTGGCAGATCAAGCAAAAGTTTCTTACAGGAAATTAAAGGGATTTCAAGGAACAGGATATCAACAGAAAACAACCACCCCAACAACAAAACAGGACTGAGCCGTTAGAGCAAGAGAAGGAGCAGCAATTGTTTGCGCACAATGGAAACCCAAAGAGCTCGAGCGACGAAGAGACCATTGCAAACACAGGAGCAGGATAGAGAGGCTGTCGGTCAGCACCAAATATCAGATGCGGTCATCAAGATGCACAAGGACACTCTGCCTGTCATCTGAGAAGTCACCTACCCCCCACCCACCCCCACCCCCTGCTCCAGCCGCATCCCGGAGCCCCACCTGTCAGCCGCCTACCTTGTCGACCATCCCCCTGTGCCAGGAGCATCAGTACCAGCGCCAGCGCCCAGGCTCTGCCAATCATTTCTGCGGAGACAGGTGAGGACGAAAGACGTCCAAGGTTCCCACTGCCGGTGGGGGAGAATGGGGTCACTGCAGCCCCTCCGCGCTCCTATCTTCGAACTTCGTCCCTCCGTTCCCACTCTGCCTTCAGGGGAGATGCATGTCTTGGCTCTGAGGAGCAGCCAGGCCTTTCTGGGTATGACAGTGGACCTTTCCCACAGCCGCTCCTTGACTCCTTCCTCCTCACTCCCGCCGCCAGTCAGAAAGCTACAACCGCCCACCTCTAGGAACTCGAGGTGCGCCTTTAAGTTCCGGCTGTGGCTGCAGCACTTTGCATGTCATTTCTGCAGCTGCACAGCCAGGGGGCAAGCTCGGGAAACGAAGCTTGGCACCTCGCTTCTCGCTGTCTTAACAAACACTGGGAACACTTGGCAATCCTAGAAACTGCTGAGATGGACTTCCAGTAAAGGAAGCTTTGCAAGGTTCGGTGGGAAGAAGGGCTACCCCTGTGTCCATCACCTGGGATTTTGCCCTCAGCAACTCCATTCCCAGCTCTTTTACCTGAGTGGAAAAGAGACAATAGTCAGCAGAGGGTAGTCCGGGGGCCCTGTTGGGCACCACAAGGGTCAGGCCACAGGTCCTCTTATAGATTTGGAGAATTGAGACTTGAACTAAGCATGGGTGAGGGCAGGAGATGGCTCAATGCATAAAGAAGGGTTTTAAAAAAAATTATAATTTTTTTTATTTGAAGAGAAATTACTAAGTTTAAAACTTTCTGTAAACCTTCATCTAAAGTACAATAAAAATTTTTAAAAAAGTTTAAAAGTTATCTTTCAACATAAAGTATTAACGCATTTTAAAAAGGAGTATCTTGTGGTGAACAAAATGTTTCTGTGGACTTCCTTTTACACCCAGAAAAAGCAACCGATCTTGTCGGGTGAAAATAAAATAGAACTTTTTGGTGGGAGTGAACAGATAATCTTCATCTTTAAGCCTAACTATGGAAGAAAATTTAATGTGGGAAGGATGAAAACCCAGACTTTTCTTAAAAAAAGAAAGATAGAGGTGAGATGCACTGGCAATTGTTAAAACAAAAATCATATTAAACTAGTAATAGAAATTGATTGAAGTTTATCGAATATATGATTTGCAAATTGGGGTAACATTTCCACTAGGGAGTGATTTAGGAGTTGAAATTGGAGCCCTTATTCCCTGTCCTTGAGTATAAAGAATGTGACCCAGCTGGAGTTGGATTCACAAGGACACATCAACTGGGCTGTGAGGTATAAAAATAATAGCTAGGACAATCTTGGAAAACATCTCTTAGGGAAACTTTCAAGTGAGCAAATCTTAAACAGTACAAAAGACCCACATGTTTTCTACTGCTATCTTTTTCTATTAGCATTTACTAAATAGTAAGTTTTGTTGGACCAATGAAGATCATCCCGACTGTTGTCACTGAAACTTGTACCAATGATTATTAAGAAAGACAATTCAAAATATAGAATCACAGTGATTTGGCAGTTTTTAGTCAGTTTGTGAAAGGGTGAAGCTTTTAATGATTTTACCCATTTTAATGTTAATATATACTGATGATTCTGTAATATTCCTTGGACTCGGGTAGGTATGGCTCTGGCAGCATACTTGTCCATTCCCACTTTTTTTATTCTACAATATTCCTTGGACTTGGGCTCAAACATAGTGATGATTGTGAGGATGACACAGGACCGGGCAGTGTTTTGCAACTCGAGACTTTAATTTTTCCTTCATTTCTTTCAGCTTGAGAAATTCCGAGCATGTTCTTTCCTTTTGGTTTTCTAACTCCAGGTCTTTGCACATTTCATTATAATACTTTACTATGTCTTCTCGAGCTGCCCTTGAAATCTTCTATACAGCTCTTTTACTTCATCATTTCTTCCATTCGCGTTAGCTACTCAACATTCAAGAGCAAGGGTCAGAGTCTCTTTTGACATCAGTTTTGGTCTTTTCTTTCTTTCGTGTCTTTTTAATGAATTGATCACTGTCTTAGGCTGGGTTCTCCAGAGAAGCAAAACCATTAAGGTGTATAAATACATACAGAGAGATTTATATTAAGGAAATGGCTCACGAGGTTGTAGAGGCTGGAATGTCCCAAGTCCATGGGTCAGGCTGGAGGCTTCTCCTGATTCACATAGCCACAGGGGCTGGCAAACCCAAGATTGACAAGTCAGACAACAGGGTTCTGGCTCACAGGCTGCAAAGACCAATGAATCCCAATATCAGCAAGTAAGATGGCAGGTAAGCTGCTAACTCAAGTCCCAAGAACTGAAGGTCGGACAAACAGGAGCCAGTTGCAGGGTCCAGAGCAAGCAAAAGCCCATAAGCCTTACCAGAAAGTCCACCTATATTGGATGCAGGCCGCATCCCTTTCAACTGATTGGCTACTCGCAGCAGATCCCACCTTGGAAGTGATCACATTATACACAGTTATACAACTGCCAAACTATATCACAGCTGTCACACCACTGTGAATCATGGCCAAGCCAAGTTGACACACAAATTTAATGATCACAATTACCTTATTATCTTATTGTGTTTCAGTTCTGGATGTCAGAAGTACAAAATCAGTTTCACTGGGCTAAAATTAAGTTGTCCGGAGGCCAGTAATCTCCTTGGAGACTCTGGGGAAAGAATTTGTTTCTTTGCCTTTTCCATCTTCTAGAGACCTACTACATCCTTTGGTTCATGGCTGCTTCCTCTGCCTTCAAAACCAGCAGCATAGTGTCTTCTCTCCTCTCTGATCTCTTCTTAGGTTCTTACATCTCTCCCTGACTCTGATCCTCCTGCCTTCTTCTATAACGATCTTTGTGATTATATTGGACCCATCTAGATAATCTAGGATAACCTCCACATCTAAACATCCTTAACTTCATCAAATCTGCAAAGCCCCTTTATCAACTAAGGTAACATATTTACAGGTTCCAGGATTAGAATATTGACGTATATTGGTGGGGTCATTATTCTGTCTACTATACTTGGACTTTCAAAATTTCATCTATCTCCAATAGACATATTAAAGTGCTAACATACAGCCATCCCAGAAGTAGAAACATAAATTGTATTTATCAGGAAAAAAAAATCATAGCTGTCATTAATGCATTGCTTTCAACAGCAAAATGAGAGAATTGTACTATAAGAATGCAATGCACTCTTTTTACCATCAAATTTGAGCATTTGAATGTGGAAAAATAGCCCAATGCTACGGAATATTTTTCAGAAGGCTGAGAAATTACTTTTCAAGTGTTTTATTTCTGTCATTTTTATATAATAAAAGCAACATTTAAAAATAATTTTTAACTCAGTATTGAAGTCACACCCGAGGTTCACCCTTCAGCCAAAGATTAGACAGACCCGTAAAACAAAACGAGACTAATGGGGCACAACAGTCCAGGGACAAGGACTAGAAGGCAGGAAGGGACAGGAAAGCTGGTAATAAGGAACCCAAGGTTGAGAAGGGAGAGTGTTGACATGTCATGGGGTTGTTAACCATTGTCATAAAACAGTACGTGTACTAACTTTTTTAATGAGAAACTATTTGTTCTGTAAACCTTCATCTAAAGTACAATTAAAAAAAAAAGAGAGAGACACACAGAGATGAAGGAAGAAGGCAGCGGGCTCTGTCAAAAAGCACAGTGTTAATTCTGGACTCCTCACTCAAGAGGGCCACACCTGCTCTGGTGGACACAGACCAATAGTCATGTCTTCATCTTCTCTTAAGAAATGATTATCATATTCATTGCAGCATTATTCACAATAGCAAAAAGATGGAAACAACCTAGGTGCCCATCAACAGATGAATGGATAAACAAACTCTGGTACATACACACAATGGAATACTATGCAACGATAAAGAACAATAATTAATCTGTGAAATATCTCACAACACGGATGAATCTGGAGGGCATTATGCTGAGTAAAATAAGTCAATCATGAAAGGTCAAATATTGTATGAGTCTACTATTATAAAAACTCATGAAAAGGTTTACACACAGAAAGAAACAATCTTTGATGGTTATGAGGGATGGGAGGGGTGAGGGGGGAAATACTAAATAGACAATAGATAAGTGGTAACTTTGGTGAAAGGTAAGACAGTATATAATACTGAGCAAGCCAGCACTACTTAACCAAGGCAAAGTCATGGAAGCTCCACAGACACATCCAAACTCCCTAAGGAACCAAATTACTGGGTTGAGGCCTGTGGGGACCATGGTCTTGGGGAACATCTAGCTCAATTGGCATAACATAGTTTATAAAGAAAATGTTCTACATCCTACTTTGATGAGTAGCGTCTGGGGTCTTAAAAGCTTGTGAGTGGCCCTCTAAGAAATTCCACTGGTCTCATCCCATCTGGAGCAAGGGAGAATGAAGAAAACCAAAGACACAATGGAAAGATTAGTCCAAAGGGCTAATGGACCACAAGTACTACAGCCCCTACCAGACTAGTCCAGCACAACTAGATGTTGCCCGGCTACCATCACTGACTGCACTGACAGGGATCACAACAGAGGGTCCTGATCAGAGCTGGAGAAAAATGTAGAACAAAATTCTAACCACCCCCTCCCAAAAAGACCAGATTTACTGGTCTGACAGAGACCGGAGAAACTACGAGAGTATGGCCCCCAGACACTCTTTTAACTCAGTACTGAAGTCACTCCTGAAGTTCACCCTTCAGCCAAAGATTAGACAGGCCCATAAAACAAAATGAGGCTAAACGGCCACACCAGCCCAGGGGCAAGGACCAGAAGGCAGCAGGGGACAGGAAAGCTGGCAATGGGGAACCCAAGGTTGAGAAGGGGAAAGTGTTGACATGTCGTGGGGGTGGCAACCAATGTCATAAAACAGTATGTGTATTAATTGTTTAATGAGAAACTAATTTGCTCTGTAAACCTTCATCTAAGACCCCATAAAAAAGAGGAAATAAAGAAATGGTTAAAAAATAGTTTTTTAGTAAAGAGCATAACTTGTTTCACTTTAATATTTTCC